AGCGTCAGAGAGGAGAGCGATTAGGTGTTAGCCGCCAGGCTTTGGCGCGCTGTAGTAGGTGCAGAGAGACTGGCCATAACTCGCGTACGTGCAAGAAAGATACTCTAGGTACTGCTTAATCTATTATGTTAATATGTAGTAAAACAACTATATTGTGGTGGAACTACAGGCTTATAGAGGTGCGCAGGTTTGGTGGGGTGCGGCGCTCGCTTGCCTGCGGCGCTCGCTTGCCACATACGTTACCTAGTTAAATAGTTAGGATACCCCAACAGCGAAAACACATAGGAACCAAAGACCAACCTCACGAACTGCCGCCAGCGCCTAGCATAGTATCACCAATTGCCTTAGCAAACCTAGGATCACCCTCCAAGAAAGTAGGCATAAAGACACTCCAATCTAAGGCAGGAGTACCTGGCATTAGACCACCCTCGAGAGTGGACACCTCTCGATTCGCCCACTCTATGGCCTCCAACGCCTCGATATCCTCCACGTACTTTCCCGACTCGTTAACCTACTGTTGTTTACGACGTTTTAGGATTTTCCTTTGTTTATAAAGACGATCCTTCTTCGCACGCGCCGCTATTAGCGCCTCTAGAGCTACAGACTCCGCTGCATCAACCTCGGCCTCTTGTTGTTCAAGACGCGCCAACTCTTGATCCAACTTTTCGAAGTTCGGGATCGGAACCTCCACCGGAACACACGACTTCACACCATTCTAATAACAATTCCTACACTCCTTCTTCAACGACGACATCCAACACTCCAAACCCCGCTTCGCGCAATATTGACAAGAAACCATCGCGAGTTCTCTAGTACGATTAATTCGGTCACCAACGGAATGACAGTGCGCAGTACTTCTAGAGACTATGACAAGTTAGCTCATGAGGACATGAAGCCAGGAAGGGGAGGATAGTGTTACGAACCTAAGGAAGGGAACAGCACGAAGATAAAGAAAGAAGAAAGGAAGAAGCCTATGTTAAGGCCTCACGAAATAATAAGAGTATATAGACTAATGACGCATGAGCGCCCTGCGTCCTACGGTCTTGGTAGAACGCTACTATGAGACAAGTCACGTGTGTCCCACAGATCCCACGATGTCCCACGAAGTACTACGCATAGGACAACATGATACATGTAGGACAATATAGAACATAGGACATTCCTTTAGTATATAGCATAGGCATTGAGCCCTTATAGCTTAATGTGTTTAACTTAAGTTTTGAGTACAAGTACAATACAGAGAGTTATTCTACTTGCACGTTACTGTCCTTGTTTGCACCCTGTCACTCTATCTGCGAAAACTAACTAACAAGAAGATCAACACCAGAAGTCTTATATTACTTCCACTTGATCTATACTCTTAACATACACTCTCGCGATACCTGGCTTCGCGGAGCTTTCTTGGGGACTAGAATACTGCCCTACTGTGATACTCCTCGCGCTATTAAAGGTCTAGTGTCTTGCTCTTCTTCTTGGCGTTTGTTTTAGTGTTAAGCGAGTGATTAAGATACTTGTTCTTGCAGTAGAGAAGCTCGTTTTAAACCTATAGAGACTAAAATAAAGCCTTAAGCCACTAGGCTTTAACTTTTGACTTATCCCTAACCGCAGCATTAAAAACTTCTCGTAGCTCACGCTAGCTATCACTATCGTTATGCTGCCTAATTTCTAGAGTCTTATCTTGTTGTTGTAGGTGTTTATTAAAGCGTTTTAGGATAACCTAAGCATCTATTAGCCACACCCTAGTAACTTAAAAACTCTTCTTAATAAGATCTAGAGTTATTGTAGAGCTCTAAGCAGGCCAAAAGAGGCTAAAGAACTCTCTTTTTGTTGCCTTTGCCGTGCTGTAGGACTCGTGGAGGTGGCAATCGAGTTGTTTCGAGTATGCTTTCGACATTAGAGCGAACACAACCACATCAAGTGGCTGCAAGCTATAGGTTGCGTGGGGTGGAAAGATAGCTAACAGGATGCGGTTGCCATCGCAGAAATCTATAAAATCAGTTGATACATGGCTGCCGTGGCCATTAAGGATTAGAAGCTAGTAATCCTGTCTTGCTTTTGGCTTCGTGAAGCGTTCAAATACCTATTTAAGCCACGCTATGCTAATATTATTGTTGCTCTATCCCGTCGCTGAGTTTAAGAAGAAAATCTTATGTTTTGCGACCTCAACGGCGTTAACCTAGCTTAATTGAATCCCAGCGGTGCCCTTGTAGATAATAGCAGGCGGCAATACCTCACTAGAAGCGCATACGCAAGCTAGCAGCGTTACCTATTCTCTATTGCTATCCTATATCGCCGCCTTAATCTCTCCTAACGCCTATAGTGCCTTAGAAAAGACGCGCTTTATGCGGTTTGTAATGCTAATAAAGAAGCCCTTCTTATTTATATTATAGGTATTGCGCGCGTTAACATCGTACTCTCGCATTTTTAAATGCAACAAGTCAAAGTATAGACTATATCTTTCTTCTAAATTAGTGTTGTGACGTTTGCGATTAATCCTAGTGCTCTATTTAATAGTGAGCTCGTTAGCATAGCGATGCAGAAAGCAGGAAACCCAGGCTATGGAAACCTTATTTTTAACTATCGTCGCCGCGAAATTTTGTATCATTTCACGCGTAGGAGGAAGCCCTTAGCAAGTACAACATTCTATATATAGCATAAGTTCATGCTCTTATTGTAGGTTAAGATTTTAGCAGTCTTAGGCAGCTTATTTAACTTTAGATAGTTATGCGCCTTTATGCTGTCACAATAGCGTTGTTTAATTAACTCTAAATATTTTTGCAACTTAGCGGTACAAGAATTTATCTCTAGCCTTACGCGATTTAATATATTTAATCGCTTCTTGAATTAGATCTATAGTTGTGGAGTTACGACGCGTTAAAGGTGGGTGGGTTCACGATGCGGCAGTTTGGTGGGGTGGCTCGTTGACTGTACTGGCTCGTTGGCTGCGCACGGATAGTACCATGCCCGGGGTGGTGCCTAAGCGGCTCGTATCGCGAACCTAAGGCGGGTTCGTGCATTGAATCTTGTAACGAGCGAAAAATGGCTCAAAGTGCAACTACCTGATTTTGAAATGCCTTATTAGGGGCAGCAGGACTGCTTTGTGATGTCGCTCATCGCCATGTATACCTCACGCTCGTTATTTTCAACCTTGGCGAATTGCCTCTCTCTGGCAACGCTCGTTGCAGCGGTTCCGGCCACCAACCACCATCTGACAGTTTCGAAACGCAATGCGAAAATTGAACAAAGTGTGTTCTTCAACATCAACGGCACCGAGGCCGAGATCAGGATTGCAAAACTGAAAGCTGAGGGATACCGACCAAGTTCCCTAAATGTACACGGCTCGCCCCCCGATGCAAAATATGCCGGCATCTGGACAAAGCAGGACGGCAGTCGATATGAAACTATCGTGGGCGCCAACGAAACCGCTTACAATGCATGGCTGGCTCAGTGGAAGACCAGTGGCTATGTCTCGACGCACGTATCTGCCACCGGGCCCGCCTCGAACGCAGTGTTTGCGGGAGTGATGGAGCAAACATCTTCGGTTGGCAACTGGACTCAGACGTGTAGTCTTGATGACCCTTACATATATGTTAATACGACCGATGGAACACCCATGACAATCAAAGGCGTCAGCATGTATGGCGTCGAGGGCGAGCGCAAGTACTGCATCCTCGGACATGAGGACACGAACAATCACATACAGACTGTGTGGTACCAGAAGGACAAGTTGAGATATGATTTTGACATGTTGTTGTCTTCAGAGACTTCGAAGAGATTCTGGAGACTGGTTTTTGTTGACAGTTCGGAAGACCAGATTCTTACGCCCATCTTTGACTCGACAAGTGTTGGGCAGTGGACAGTTCGTACCAATCTCACTACATTGCAACTCAAGACGGAAATGGCCGCTCAAAAGGCCAAGAACATGTACCCTACGCACATTTCAGGCGCAGGCTCCGCAGAAGCAAGATACGCCGTCATATTTGCAGAGAGGCTCACCCCGCTAGAGCGCGAATGGCACGTCACAGGCACTGTTGGCGGCTTCCAAGACAACGACGGTATCCGCGATACTCTGGACCAAGTAATGCAAGACTTTATGAAAAGGAACAGTGTCCGACAAGCCCAAGTCGCCGTGTCCATCAATGGAACTGTCGTCACTTCGCGAGGGTATACATGGGCCGAGAGCAATCGCGCCATTGTCCAACCGTCGGATAAATTCCTGCTCGCGAGTGTATCCAAGGCCTTCACGTATACCGCAGTGGACCACCTCATATCGACAGGCATGCTCAATTTGACGACCCGCGTCTACCCCCTCCTCGGCTACAACAACCCCAAAGACGCCCGCGCGTTGAACATCACGGTGGACCAGCTCCTCAACCATACGGCGGGCTTCGATCGCAGCATCTCGCCTGATATCGGCTTCGTCTTTACCCTTGTCGGGCAGTCACTCAATCAGGCCACGCCCGCCACGCTACGCCAGGTCATCGAATGGGTCTATGACCGGCCACTCGATTACACGCCCGGCGAGAAGACTGTTTACTCCAACTACGGGACCATGCTATTGAGCTACGTGCTGACCAATCTGACGGGCCACACGTACAAGTCGTACCTTGAGAAGCACGTGCTCGCGGGCTACGACGTGGAACTGTGGGAGACGGCAGCGGACAAGCACCTCAACGACGCTATTGTGCAGGAAACACAGTATACCGGCATTTCTGCCTTGACGCCGCTGGCAAAGAACAGAGTCTCCAACGCGAACGGTGGCGACGGGGGCAACAAAGAGGAAGCCATGGGTGCGTATGGGCTCAAATGTTCGGCAGCCACCATAGCCCGGTTTTTCAGCACCCACGCAGCTTACTCGACTGGCGGACACGAGCCATACGCGAGCCGCGACGGCACAATGGCTGGCGCACGCACAATTGGTTACAGCTTGCCGACAATGGATTGGGCCTTGACGCTGAACACGAGGGACTTTGTGACTGACCAGGCTTTCTGGGACCTGGTGTATGGAGGGATGCTGTATAATTTTGCGCGCTTTCCAGTCGTAGATTCCTTGTAACAAGTGTTGGGATGGCGTATATTTCTCCTGTATCTATATTATCCTATGGATGCTGTAAGTGACCATCTACATATAATGTAAATGCTGTTGTCAAAGGGGGATACGCCGATGGGTACCTTTGGGTGGTTCGATACATAACAGAAGCGCTGACGGTGGCAGTGAGTCAGACTAGCCACCCGGATCGTGCTCCACTTTAGACTCAACCGGGTGTTGTGCTGAAATGGTTTTGACAGTGTTGAGACAAGTTGGGTGGAAATGTGAAGATCCGATTCACAGTCCAAGTCACGTGGTGCTGTTTCCCACAATCAAGCTTCTGTCCAGAATCAGAGTCGTGGTCGTGAAATCGAGTGTCTTGCCCCTGGCTAAGGGATACGCTGTACATGCATTCTCCGCAGCCGCCACCCCCCGACCAGGCGAATACGGGCTGGCTCGCCACTCGCTACGTCACTCCGCAATGTATCGTTTCCCGCTAGTGCCTTTTCTTTCACGCTCCCACCTCCTCGTATAAGCATTGTATACTGCACACTGGTTGCGTCATATGAGAAATTGGCCTGGCTAGCGCGTAATAAATGTAAGCATTGAGCAGCTGGGGTGCTCGCCATTGTCCTTGCAACGTCTGCATCAGAAGGGAAGATGGCGCATAGGTCGGACACGTGAATATCGTATCTCTGTGTGTATGTGTGTATGTGTGCGTGTATATGTGTGTAGGCAACAGGACACATAGACGTAGGGTAGAAAACAGACTCATATGTTGGGGTAGTATAGTGGGTTCGAGGTGGGTAGTGTAGTATAGTGCTACGTCGCTCCAGAAAGCGCCGATCTTGAATAAACTTGGGCATATATTGCTATAATTAGCCCCAAAGTTTCTATGCCGCGGGGAATCATGGTCTTGTGGACAGGCTGAAATTTTCTCTTCTCTCATCATCGTCTTGTTCTTCTTGCTTCTCTTGCAGGGCGGTGATGGATAGGCTCGTCCTGGCGTCTTCCTCTCGTATACGGCGTGTAGGTTGTTTATTGGATCCGGGCTGCCGGGACTCGATGAGTGCCTATTTAGAAGTGGGCTTTGCCTTTTTGAGGAGGCGGCGCTGGTTTGCGATGGCCGGGCGATGACATGGCCGTGGGATCAGAGCTGGAAAGAGTAGGATCGGATCGTCTGCGCGTGAACGGATAACTCGGTCGGACAGCCAGGTGTGGGGAGGGTATTTGTGGAATGGCATGGCGGTCTGGGCAAGGGGATGCTGGCAACGCCGTCGCTGTTAGCGCGGGATGATTCATCACGTCGCCGGCAGGCGAATCGGACAGCGAGGAGATTAGCGAGGCCCGCCTTGATTCGCCGGCGCTTTGCAGGCATTCGACGGCCTTTTCTGCTGCCACCGCTGTGGCTGCTGTCGTTCGGAAGCATCCGCCTGTAGCGAGCACGAGCATGATGCCCGTTTCTTGGGGCAGCTTCAGTACGTCCAAACACTTTCACGCCTGGGAATCCCGCGTCAACGTCCCAGTGGGAGCAGAGCATCATCGGAATACATGGTTCCATACTCTTGCCGTAATACATTAGCTAACATTAACATGAACTCTGCTGGCTACCTCCCCCTTCTGAAGCGTCCACCGCCCTCGACAGCCTTTCTCTGTACTCTTCCATTCAGGAGCATTGACTCTACGGCAGGCCGTTGTAGATGCACTTCTGGGGATCATCAAGCTTGAGGGCCCTTGCCGTGAACGGGATGCACTCGTCGCCCGTGGGGTTAGGGTACTGGCCAAGCCAGACTGTAAACACCTGGCTGGGGTTGGGGTCGTTGGCCGTGATGGGGCAAGCCTGGAAGTCGTATCTCTTGTCGCCATCAACGAATTGCAGCGTGTTGTTGGCGTTGATTTCAAACGGGCCGCGCTCGAACTTGGCGTCGATGGGGGACACGCCCGTCGACCACTTGATAGCGCCTTTGCCCTCGGGCGTGCGGTCAACGTACGCCTGCACGACGTTGGTATCGACGTAGAGGAAGAGCCCACCGGATGTGTTCACCGACATGGCGGCGTACTTGGGGTAGGGCTTCTTCTCGCAAAAGATTTGTTGGTCGTTGTTGATGCCAAGACCGTCCTTGTAGACGGCGACGTTGCCATTCTGCACAAACGTGCCCGTCCGTTGTGATAGCAGGCTGAAGAGGTCGCCCGGGTGAACGGGGTCGTCGAAGGCGGCGGCGGCGAGGGCCACGGTGGAGGCCAAGATGGTCGAGGTAGAGAACTTCATATTGATGCGGCTTGGTGGAGCACTAGGTCTAAGTAGTTTGGACAAGTGATGAGCATGTGTTGGGTCATTGTCAGCAGAGGAAAACGCACGCCTCTTTATATCCCCATGGGCCTTCGATCCATGCACACGAGAATACGAGCATGATGCAATGTTGCCGACGCTATGCCCGAAGCATGGCTCTGCACGCACTAAAAATATTCCATGGCGAATTTAGAGGCAAACGTCAGAACAGATTAAACCCGCCATTCTGCCACGGGCTAGCACCTGGTAAATGCCCGAATGTCATCCGGCATGGGTCATGCCTGTTGACCGTCCAACGTAACATTCCATGTGCGTGAGCCTGACCAAGCCAATTATGCGGCGGGACCTGGTTATGGCACGGACAAGAGTAGGCTGTATCTAGTATGTATACCTGGGTACTGTGTCCGACAGACTGGTCGTTTTCTGGTTACAAGGAGCCCTTGGTCGTGTTCTTGCATTAAGTTGCAAAAGTCGCACGACGGGAAAACAATCCCAGTCCACATGGACCGTGTGACGAAGCTCGTATACATAGTGTTTGTAGATGTGTCTATGGTAGCATTCGGGGGGCAGGTAGCGCTGATTTGGGCCTCGCACGGTGAAGCAGGGCGGTAAGCAGGGCAACGCATATCCTAGGCCATTTCCAGGAATTGATCTGTACCAGGAGAACTAAGCGGTCAGAACATGCAGCCGATGAGATGGGGGGACCACAGCGGTACGGACAAGCGCATTGCGAGCACGGAGAGAGTAGGCATAGCGTCCGGTTCGTCTTGGCAGGGAGATGAAGGCTGTATGTATGGATGGATGGATGACTGTATGGATGTAGTGCATGGGAAACTCTTAGCAGCTTCATTTCGAGGACGGCATTCCGGTTGTTCCGTGATGATCGCCATGGCGCTGGCCAGTCTACACATGCACGTATACTATGGGCAGTCAGTCAGTGACAAGGGCCAGCCGTCCGCACAGCCTCATGAGTGGCGTCGCCGTTGTCGTCGTCGTCGTCATTGTTGTTGTTGTTGTTGAGGACGCATGGGCCAGGCAGGGCCAGAAGAGTATGTATGGAGATGGGACTCTCTCGTATCCGGCTGGCGGGACAAGGACGAGAAGCCGACAAAGGCAAAGGCGTCGAGGCTGGAGGAGAAGATGGAGAGAGAGAGAGAGAGAGAGAGAGGCAGCCCCTTGGCGGGCTCGGGGGGCTCGCATCAGCCAATCAGCAGCGTGACCAGGTATGACGTTTAGCGCACAAGCTGAGCGCACCCTCGCAACGTCTTGTCTTCTTGTCGCAAGCCAAGGTTGCGCGCAACACCAACCCCCCATCCCTCTCTCTCCCCCCCAACGAGCCTCATTTGCTCATCTCATCTTCCATCCGCCGCCCCGTCCCCCCGGCTGCTGTGCAGACGTCGTCAAAGTGCGGTTCCCACACCTCGCCAGCCAATCCTCCGCCATGGACTTCTCCGACATCTTGTGAGTCCTCGTGGAGCTTGGGCGGCGTGCACACAGGCAGCTATGCAGCGCCGCCTCCTGCTCAACCACGCGTGCTCCCCCCCGACTCTGTCCATGCCGATGACTAATGTCTGTCCTGTCCAGTCGCATGGTGAATTTCGCCGTCGCCGTCTTTGTGGTCCTCGGCGGTATCGCCAAGCTGTTCCCGTTTTCGGATTTGTGAGTGTGCGCCCGCTGCACATGCCCTTCCCAACCCGCCGCATCGACCCCCTCTCCACCGTTCCTATCTATTCTTTGGCGCGGACACTGCTGCCGCGGAGCTACACGCGCCACACGGCAACGAGGGCGAGGGCACAGAGCAGAGGCGCCAATGGCTAGGCGTCGTCGCTGCCCACATGGCAGGCACCAGCCAGGTCCCAGAGATGGCGCTGCCGTGCTCTTCCAACCCGTCATTGCCCACGGATGCACCCTTTGGCTTCATGTAACCTCGTACCGCGCTAACCGTGGCCTCAGCTCCAACATCATCCTTGGCGTATACCTCATAATATTCGGCCTGGGTAAGAGTTGGGCCTGCTCGTGCCTGACGGACGCTGCTAACGGCTGCCACAGGAACGGCTCTCCTTGAGTTCCAGATCCCCCAGCAAGTGGCGCGCTATGCCTCTTTCATGTTCTCGTTCCTCGGCCGCGGCATCTTCTACATCTTCATTGGCTCTGTTATCGTAGGCGAGCGCTGGTTCCGCATTGTGCCCGGTACCATTGTCGGCATCATTGGTGTGGCCTATGCGGCTCTGGAGTTTGTTCCCTCCATCGAGCCCCCTGCCAACATGCGGTATGTCTGCAACAGGCCAGAACATTTGGGGCCTGCATAACTGACGACAAGCAGCGATGCGGATGCCGGTTGGGGCGCCGAACAAGTCTAAACCCACGACTGACAAAGAAGAGGATGGCGCTTGCAGAGTCGTCGTCAACATATTGGTCGCCAGGCCTCTGGGCCTCGGCGAGGAAAAGAGCATGGTTGCGTGTGGTTGATGCAATCAATAGGTGTTGTACATGTCTGGTTGGTGAAATGCAGGGTGCATGTAGAGGCGTCGTAAAGCTTGTGGGGGGAAGACTTGGGAAATGACCGAATTGTCGACGTCAGAATAAGCTTTTGCAGTCTTCACCCAGCGTGTGCGAGCAGAGGTAGGGTCTAGTTCTCACGTAGTTTATTTTGAATAGCAAAATGCTTATTTCAATAGTGCAGCTACCAAAGAGGGCTAGAGGCAGCATGTGCGTGCTTTGTAAGCCTTGTCAATCCAATGCGTGTATGGCGGATTGCCGACACTGGCAGCATCACTGGGCGGTATTCGAGACGTGCTCGGGCTCGATGGGGTGCGGGTGAATGGCGTTGTGGTTTGGGGCGTAGAGACCAGTTTTGGTAGCCGACGCCGCGTGTTCCCTCGTCGATTCGCGACCTGCCAGTCGATTGAGAAACACTTGGGCGAGTGGCAGGCAAGGCCGCGAGCAGTTGGGGCGTTCACGTAACGCTCGTGTGAAGATGCAAGCATGTCATTCTGGGGCGCGCTGATTGGATCCTTGGTGTGCATCAGTGGCGTGCGGAGAAGGTACCGTTATTGATCGCTAGCGGTAGGCGAAGCGGATCTTGATCCGCTGACAGCCCGTCCACGTCTGCTGTGTGTGTGTGCTGCCAGGGCGGTTTGTGGAGACGAAGCCGACTTTTCCCTTGCCCTCGGGGTGCCGCCACAGCAGATCCTTTGGCGCCAGGGATGGGGGGGTTGGCCTCTTTGCGCACTCATGCCGTGGACAGGGCCGCGGTGCGGTTGGCTCCGTCTGCGAACTGCTGCCGCCGCTGGTGCTGGTGCCCGTGGGGGCGCAGAGGCTGGCTCAGGGCGGCCGTCGTCGCGGCTGGCGTGTGTCGTTGCATGGCCGTCGACGCGGACGTGGACGTGGACGTGGACGTGGACGTGCTCGCAAAGGGGAGGGCCATGGCGTCAGTCGGCGGCTTATAATAGCAACGACGTGATTGGCCGCCCGCCCCCATTCACCGCCTGAGCACTCCAGCACCACCAGCGCCATGTCTCGCTGGAATATACAACGGCCGAGGCCCCGGGCCCCGACCACGCCTGCAAATGCTCCCTTGCCAGGCACTTGACTCTTGAACTTGGCCGTTGACCACCACCACCACCACCCCCAGTGTGCCACACCTGACAACCGTTGTGCACGAAGGCCCGAAGACCCGCATTTCGCCTCACCACACATACATTAGCGCCTGCTTCACGTGGCGTCTCGCTCGTGGGATATCAGATCAAACCTAGATCTGAAGCCCGATAGCTGGCCGCCTAAGCGACTACGCCGTCGTGGACAAAGCAGCCCGCCAACCCTACATACATACATACATACATACATACATACATCATCACTGCCGCCGTGACCATCGGCTCCAGCGGACTCGCCCCAACACGCACAACAACGCCGCCCTCGCCTCATGGCGCATCCCTCAGCAATTGGAGGCACCGCACTAGCTCCCACGCCCACCCATCCGCATCACTTGTCGCGGGAAACGAGCAGAGACGAATTGGACATGGCCGACAGTCTCCGCCTGCTCAACCAAGCCCACGAACACCAGAAACCGAGCGTCGAGACGCCTTCGCAGGAACCCCAGCCCATCCATGCCCCGGACGACCAAACATCAGAGATATACCACTCGCTCGAAGATGCCGTGCCCATCGCAGACGCTCCCCCCGCGCCTTCACCCTCGGCGTCTCTTCAGATGCCCAACATGGCCTACGAGCCTCCCAACGCACCCGTCACCGGCCAGGTCTGCAGGTATGTCATTTGCTTTTGTCTCAAGTCGTTCTGCCTGACTTGCCACCGCCTGTGCGACGACAGTGCGAAACACATGTGCGAGCAGAGCGCTAACCGTCCGAAGCAACTGTAAAACAACCCAGACGCCCCTCTGGCGCCGGTCGCCGACTGGAGAAACAGTGTGCAACGCGTGCGGTCTGTACATGAAGGCGCGGAATCAGTCACGGCCAGTGAACCTCAAGCGGAACACGCAGACCCAGCCGATGATGCCGGTCCAGCAAAGCCCGACTCCAGGACCCAGCGACGCCAATCGACCATCTCCTGGCAGCGTGGCTGCTTCGCCGCGCGTGGCAACCTATGTCGCTGCGGACCAGATGGCGGCCGGGACATGCCCAGGCGGAGGGAGGTGTAATGGTACCGGAGGTCAGCAAGGTTGCAGTGGCTGCCCAGCATTTAACAACCGCGTGTCAAAGACGGCCAAGTTTGCACTGGCCCAAGCAAACGCAGGCTCCGGCGACAACAGGAGTGGGAATGACGCCAATTCCCCCGCCTCAGCGTCGACAAGTGCCATCCCTGCGTGCCAAAATTGTGGAACAACAATCACGCCACTCTGGAGACGAGATGATGCTGGTCACATCATCTGTAATGCTTGTGGTGAGTCCGCATTGCCACGCAGCATGCATGCCTAGTCAACAATCGATGACTAATGCTTTCATACAGGACTCTACTACAAACTTCACGGCACTCACCGCCCCGTTGCAATGAAGAAGCAGGAGATTAAGCGCCGGAAACGTGTTGTGCCTGCCACCGACACCAGCTCGCAAGCTGCGTCTTCAGTCGCAAATTACTCGCCTCCACAAAGACCTTCTCAACCCCCTGCATTCGAGCACTCGGTTTCTCCAGACCCGTCGACTGCCCTCGAGTCTCGAGAAGAATACACACCGGAGCCACCAAGGGGGCCGCTTGCGGTTGACTTTACGCATTACTACAGTAATGCGACAGTAACGTCGAACCCAGTAGGCCTTGTAGCCAGCGGGCAGCCCGGCGCACCATCGCCCAGAAAACGAAGTCGCAGCGCAACGGTGGATCCCGAGGAACCGTCGAATCCACTGCCTCATCGTCCAAATGCCATATCGTCGATCCTAAACCCATCACAGACTGACACAGATTCTAATATCGACCCGTCGCTCTCTGTGCCCCTCCGCACAAGTGGAGGAACATCGCCCAATTCCACCCTATCACAAGAAGAGAAAGCAGCTAAAAGAGAAAGACTGCGAAGAGAAGCAGAAGCAATGAGGCTGGAACTGGAGCGGCGACAAAAGGAGTTGGACGAGTTGGAAAACGACTGAAACCGTCTAAATGCATCTTTGGATAAAATAATAAAAGATAAACAAACAGAAAACAAGCCAGCAAAGAACAAGTCTACATAAATCTATGGCAATTTCCCCTTTTTTTCGGGAAAAGGGTCAAACTGGAAAATTCGGTTAATTTTCCACGTGGCAACATATTGCTTACGAAGTTTTTTTGGTTTTACGGAACGACTGATTCAAGGTTTCGAATAAGCATTGTTAAGAAGATAATTTGACCTTGCTCGGAAGGATTATTTACACTGGAAGCTCACTAGTGCCACGAGAGGGCACTGCTCATGTTGAAGCGCTACCGATTTGCTTGTGCTTATGGTTCTGTCTTGACCGTTTTTTTTTCTTCTCTTCTTTGCTACTCTTAAGACTGCAGCGGCGTAGTTTGCCTGGTTTTGCATACGGAGAGAGTACACCATTGAGCTTGAAGTTGCAGCGTTCCTATCTACATAGGCTTGGTATTATGGTGTTTTGATTTTCAGGTTGAACATGGAAGAAGGTACATGCGCAGTACTTGGGCTGGATGCCTTTGCAATGGAACTCGCCAGTAAAGTTGACTAGCTACGAATGATTATCCTATGAATCATGACACAGACTCTCTCGCTAAGTACTCGACATTTCATGGATGCAAAATCGAAACCACCACCTCCCATCTCGCCTCAACTCTCTGTTTACTCAGCAATCCTACTCCTCTTCAATTGCGGGACTTGGAGATTCGGGTTCCGACTCATCTCGCCCGCCTCGCTCGCAAATGTCTTGTCCTCATCCCACCGAATCAGCCCACCCTTCTCCACCAACTTGATTGCTTGCCCTCTGTCCTCCATGCCCATCTGACACACATGCTTGTGCACCGCCCAGTCCCCCTTTTGACACGCATCCGAGCAATACGTTGCCGTTCCGCATCGCCCACAACGCTGCAACGCCAGCGCAGTGTCATTTTCAGCGCAGTTCTTCTTCCCGCACGCCGTGCACACACTCAGATCAAGCCCTTTGTACAGCCAGTGCGGCGACATGGGGATGCCGTCGCCCCAGACATCCATGGGCGCGTATTCGACCCAAAACCCATGTTTCATCTTCTTGCCCGTTTCCCACCTCCTCTCCCGTACACATTTGGCCATGAATTTCTGCGCTAGCGCCTCGATGATTGCAGGCGACGTGACGTCGCGCTCGCCAATCATGCTTTCCTTGGGATTTGGGATCCATGTTCCAGTCTTGTGCTTTGTGCTGTTACGTTGTTTTACCTTGTCGTCTTCTTCTTCTTCTTCTTCTTCTTCTTCTTCTGCTAAAACAATGTTATACGTCAACATCAACTTCCAGTTTTCGCCGCTGCTGTCCAGACTGCCAAACGTGATTTGGTTGCCTATACGCCCGATTTCAATCTTGGGGCCTGAGGGTGTTCCTGGCGCGATGCTTAGAGTCCATGTCATGGAGAACCAGGCGTCGAGGTCGAGAAACGCGGCGAGAGCGTTGGGGTGCCATTTGTAGAGGAGGGTTGCCAGGCCAATTGCAGGGGTGATGGTGTTGTCGCTGTTGTTTGTGCCACTTCCTTCTGGGGGGAGTGAGGATGTGTCGACGATGCTGAGCGGGGCGCCATTGAGAGTCAGGGGCGCGTCAGGGTAGTCTGGCAGGCGAAAGTCGGTTAGAGGAACGAGTTTGGTCGTCATTGTTGGGTTGGGTGATTCATGATGATAATTATCAAGTCACGAGCGAATTGGGACAGTCAAGGGCTTGTGAGTGGGGCGCCCTTTGTTGAATTTTCATTGGCTGCTGGGTGCAAACCCGAGCTTTCTTTTACCAACGTCGACCGCAGTACCATGTCACTTTACCACACTGAGCATTTGCAAGAGGCGAGACTGTGTTTGGCCATAACATGGCTACTGGCTGGTATTGATTTCTATCGCCCGCTCAATTGCCTCCATGTCCTTCCAGCGGGTGCGGCTTGGGTCCCTGTTGGTGAGGTACACTATCCAATGGACCTGCAAACTGCAAAAGTGCAATATCTGAGCTCGTCATGGTGTGCTTGTACTGGGCGCCCCCAAACTCGAACATCATATTCATGGGGAAGCCGATTTCGAACGGAACAGCCGAATCGATGTCGACAACCTCTTCATCGCTCAACTCGATCGCTAGCGCCTCGATATTGCCCTTGAGGTGTTCGACCTTGCGGCCACCAACAATCGGGTAGACGTAAGGATACTTGTGACGTACGTATGCAAGCGCGATGCTTGTAATCTGCGTATTCTTCTGCTTTGCAATTGCTTCAAGCTTCTTCGAAATGGCAATGTGCTTTTCCGAAGCAGGACCAAAGTTGCGGCCTTGTTCGTTGCTCTTGCGCTTCTCTTCCGTGGTAAAGTTTCCGCCCCCAAGGCGCCCCATGGGCAGAGTGCCATGCCCTCATCGCGCGCCATGGGAATGATGTCGCGCTCAAAGTCACGGTCAGCTGCAGACCAGCGGCCCTGATAGACGCTGAATCCGCGCAGGCCATGGTTTCGGGCATCTGGAATCATGTTAGTCAACATTGTCTGTGTTATTCGGACGGGCAATCTCGACTGACATTCATTGGCCTTACTGACAACCCATGCGGGTGTGTCACTGACACCAAGGTACAACACCTTTCCGCTGTTCACCAGCGCATTGAGAGACTGCATAACCTCTGGGATGCTCGTAGTATAATCCCACCAGTGCACGTACAACAGGTCAATGTAGTCGGTCTGAAGCTTCTTCAAAGACGCCTCGAGCGATACACGGAGCGACTTGGTGCTGTAGAGCTAATGTCAGTACATGTCTCTCGTATCTCCTCCAAATTCAAGCTTTACCTGTTTCCGCCATAGTTGATCTTTTGTCGTGGCGGCGCATTGGTTGGGTCGGGGAAACATGTCGTGTATTTTGTAGCCACGATCATCTGGTCCCGAACACCACGCTCCTTCATCCACTCACCAATCCATTTCTCGGATTCTTCGAATTGGTAGTTGTTTGCACTAAGTACACGTCAGCTCAAGAAACCACCATTGAGGCGGCCAGGCGGCCACACTCGGAAATCGTCTCCCAACATGTGCGGGGTAAGACAAGCATCAACTTACGTGTCGATAAAATTACCGCCTTGGTCATGGAACAAGTCCAAAATCTCGAATACCGTCTTCTTGTCACATTTGCCCATCATGTCCTGCTACGCATCGCCAAAGTTCATGGCTCCCAAGCAAAGCGGGGAGACACGGACGCCAGCAGTGGGCGCCATGACACGGTGGAAATCCAGCAAGGAGGCAGCCTTTGGCTTGAAGCCGAATGGAGGAGTTGGTTTAGACATTGCAGCAATAAAATGACAATTGCAGTGGAATGTGTATAGAGTAGAAGCTGTGTTTGTGTTGATTGAAGCTATTGTCCGATGGATCTAGTGGGCAACAAACCCTTCTTATAGCAAGATGTTTGTGGGCACATGACGTATGCATCTGGAGTACCGTGGAGACCATAGCGGACCCCGTTCCCGTTCAGAGTTGTCCGAAGAATATCGGAAACGGTTGTTGTTGCATGGCGTTAAGGTCTTGACATGGGGACATTGTGTCATGTCATACTTACTTAACCCCGCTAAGCTCCGAGCGTGCGGCGCTTGTTTTCCCAGAGCGGGCTTAACGCTTCCAGGAGACATGGGGCAATGCAGATTGAGCAAGCTGGGACCTGTGCATATAATTGGCCAAACTGTTCATCCAAACAGGTAGAGCCAGCAGTGTGCAGTACGCCCTACCTGAAAATCAGAGCGACTGCACGCAGCTCCGCGATATAGCTCGAGAACCCACATCACAGAAGACTTGAGAAACTTGCCCCATACAATCCTTTTGGCAACAAGACCGTCTGCATTTGCTAGCACCCATTCACCAGAATAATGCAGACTCGTGAACTGGGAGGGAGCACTGCTTTGAAATCGACTATACAGGGTGCAGATAATGACAACACGAGTAAACTTTTCAGGGTATCCGTCATGCAAAACTCCGGGTAAATGCACAATATTGAACGCGAGCCCAGAGGCCGAAACGCATTATCCAAACCGACTAGTGCTTCTTCTTCTTCTTCTTTTTCTTCTTCTTGTTCTTGTTCTTCGTCTTGGCTTCGTCGTCACCGCCAATGTCGGCCTCTCCTGCCGGAGCCTCGAGACGCACGTTTCCGTATTTTTGCCGTATCTCCTGCTCAAAGCTGTGCTTTTCCAGCCTGAACAAGGCCATGGTTGCCCTAGCATCTTCCACGGAGCTATGTGCACCGACTTGTATTTCCACGCCAAGCAGCTTCTCTGCCAACAGCTTCAGCCCTGGCGTGCGCCCTGGTATTGATGCCAATTCCCGGAATTTGGAGAACTTGGACGTATCGCGGATCAAGCGCTTGTCGTGCTTCAGGATGAGCACGTCGAGATCGTTTTTGACAGCGTGTCCAACCAGTATGCGCCCTTGGAGCAGTATCTTAAGGTCGTTGCGCACTTCGTCAAAGGGCCGCGCGACGTCTTTTCGCATGTGCTTGGGTTCAATGCCGGAGACGGCAGTTCGGTAGTCGGTGATCTCAATGTGTCTAGGGACTTGAACGTAGGAATCGTAGATTTGGTGCCCATGATAGTTGACCAGAGATACCCGCGCCAGGGCCGAGTCGCGGTTGGGCTCTGGTCCCACGCCAACCATTTCGCAATCCAATGCGACGTATTTCCCCGGCAGCGCTACCTCGGACACGCCTTCGTTTTCGACATCGGGGAAATCGGGATGGGGCTCGAGGATGGAGACGGCGGCGGCAGCGTCCTTGGAGTCGCTGAGCAGGGGCGCCTTCTTAAGCGAGGGCATCGACGTGCTCTTGGAGAGCGTCTTGGTGTTGTGTTGCTTGACTGAAGCGCCAACCGAGGCTGGCTCCTCCATCCTTTGTCGCTTTCTCGCGGGCAGAGACTTGGGCAGTGTGTTGTTCTCTGGGCCATTCACAGCCTTGGCAGAGCTATCTCCCTGCTTCCCAGGGGCTTGCTGAGACCTCTTGCGCTTGAGCGAGGCGTGCTTGTGCTCGTCCGGCTTCTTGTCCTTTGATGATGATGATGATGATGATGCGGCTGGCGCTGAAGACTTGAGTCGCTGTTGCAGGATCTTCCAGTTACTGGAGAGGCTGCCGAGGTCGACTGGAGCCATGCCGGAGTCATATGCTGAGCATAGTGGTGTGTTGGGAGTGCTTGTCGGGACGAGAATCTTGGTGCTTCTTTCTGCGCAGCAAAAGTTCAGATGGACGCTAGCACATTCCAGATGTCGGCGGAAGCGCAGCCCAAGCGCCGACCACCGCCCGCCCGCCCGCAACAGCGCGCCGCAGACCTGCGGCATCGCCAACTTCATCGCGACATTAATCCTCCCAACGCCGTCTGCAATCTCCCAGGATCGAGAGCCAGGTAGCGCATCAGCATGGCGCCCCGGGAAAATTCCCACGAGCCGTCAGGCACCCCCGCGCCGGTGGAAACGGGCTTTGCCACCCTTGCGCAGCTGAGGTACGTACACCACCATGCGCAGACGCTCGAGATGCATACTGATGCGTGGCGTGCAGAGTCGGCGTCAAGGCCTGGGTCGAAAAGGTACGTGGAACAGCGCGCAGCTCTGTCCTGCGTGACGCGAATCCTGGGCTGCCCCAACATCGCAGTCATCCCCAACTAACACGCACCCCCCCTGCAGGATGGCGAGAAACGCAAAGCAGAAATTCTCTCCATACAGACACGCCAGGGCCGTCCCAAGTTCTATGTGCATTACGAAGAATTCAACAAGCGTCTGGACGAATGGATCGAGGCAGAGCGCATCGATCTGTCTCGAGAAGTCGAATGGCCTGCCCCCGAGAAAGCCGACAAAAAGAAGGGCACCGCCGCTAAGAACGAGAAGGCGCCCTCAAAGTCTGACCAAAAGAACCTCAAGCGCTCACGCAGCAAGCTGGACCGTGAAATTTCCGGGACCCCAGAATCAACCTCTAGCAACTTGCCCGGCAAGGCTCCAAGGCCGTCCAAGGCAGGCGGCAAGGAAAACCAAGAAGTGCTCGTCACCAGCGAAGTCACAGATGGCACCCCAAAGCCCGAGGACGACGAGATGGACCTGGTGGACGTGCAAGACGCTGCCGCTGCCGCCAAAGCCATGCCTCCCCAGGACTTTTCGAGAGAGGACGAGATTGAAAAGCTGCGCACATCTGGATCCATGACCCAGAACCAGACTGAGATTTCACGAGTGCGAAACTTGGAGAAGATTCAGATGGGAAGATACGAGGTCGAACCTTGGTATTTCTCACCATACCCCATCGACTTTGTAGACTCCGATGTCGTCTACATCTGCGAGTTTTGCCTGTCCTACTTTGGTGAAGTCACGCAGTTTGAGCGCCACCGCACAAAGTGTAACCTGCTCCACCCACCAGGCAACGAGATATACCGCGACGACTACGTATCCTTTTTTGAGATTGACGGGCGGCGACAGCGAACCTGGTGTCGCAACCTCTGCTTACTTTCCAAATTGTTTCTCGACCATAAGACGCTCTACTATGACGTTGATCCCTTTCTCTTCTACTGCATGTGCACGCGCGATGAACACGGCTGCCACTTTGTGGGCTATTTCTCCAAAGAAAAAGAGTCGGCGGAAGGCTACAACGTCGCCTGTATTCTGACGTTACCCCAGTACCAAAGAAAGGGATTTGGTAAGCTGCTCATCGATTTCTCGTACCTTTTGTCCAAGCGCGAGGGCAAGCTCGGGTCACCGGAAAAGCCTCTGTCTGATCTGGGTCTTCTCGGTTACCGTGCATACTGGCAAGAGATTCTTGTCGATATCCTTATGGAGCCTGGTCGTGCAGAGGCAAACATTGAGGATCTAGGCGCTGCAACAGCAATGACGACCAACGACGTCCTTCACACTCTGCAGAACCTCAATATGCTGCGGTACAGCAAGAACCAACACGTCATCGTCCTTACAGATGCAGTCATTGCACAACGGGAGCGGCAAAAGGCGAAGGAGAAGCTAAAGGGAAAGAGGAGCATTGACCCTGATCGTTTGATCTGGAAGCCGCCTGTCTTTTCAGCAGCGAGTCGGACATGGAATTGGTAGAGGATTTTTCTGTTCGTTATTTTTGTGTTATTCTTAGCGATTTGCCGTTTCACTACATATGTCATATCAAATCATAGCGTGGAAGTCTCAGTATTATGTAGTTCAGATCAGTATACCCAATCTATTAGCATGCCGCTCATCACTCTCTTTGCTGTCTGTGTCCGTCAACCCGATTTTATCGGATTTGTCTTTCAATATGTTTAATCATTGTTAACGCGAATAGAAGACGGTCTCTCTCACGGATGATATATGGACAAATATTAGAAGCCAGTGCAACCTATCAGGTTCACACATAGGTTTTCCATTTATATTGGGCCTTCTCATATAGAATCAGCCGGCCTAGTTGGGTTGATTTAACATGTTGTGCGACTGCCAAGGTGAGGCCACGTTCTTACACCTCGTGCTTAGCAGTTTGATTTATTGTCTGGTCATCGAAGTCTGCCCTTTAATCATTCGCCTTCCTCCACACCTCCACTTCTCACTCCTGCTTTTACAACAATCAACATTATTATAACTAGTAATTTTGGTATCATTCATCCCTAGGGAGGGGGGGGGATTTTTAGTATTTCACTTGAAGATAAGGTTGAGACAATAACTCCGTAGATACGCATCTTTGATACAGGTACTTTTTGAATTACCTGGTATTCATGTTCTAGATGAGTACCTTGGAGGAATCAACAGATACTAAAAACCTGTGCAAAATATACAATGTTATGATAACACAACTAGAGTCCAAGCGATGTGTTTCAGAATCATAAAAGACACGAAACTCACCAACTGACATTCAAAACATGTGAGCTATTTGATTGGCAAACCCTTGAAACCACATATGTTGTGCAATTTCTCAACGATAGAGCGGTTCTATGAGTTTAGAAAGTCCAAACATAGTGATACATACAGTGAGAAGAGTTGATTCTAATCATGAAGTATTGCACTAATGTCTACAGATTTGAAAACAGTCATTATCTAGCTCTGTGTATCGAGCGGATAAGGATTCCAAAGAAAACTCATAGACACCCTTTTACATATGATACATGGCCCAGTTCTTGCTGTAACACACATATAGTTTTCTACCAAAGTTTGAGAATATATTGCATTTAATATCGCAACTAGTACGGTTGAATATGGATAAAGTAATTCCAAGAAGCCCCGGTTACCTTTTACTCTCATTGCTATCGAATCGTTTATGAATACTGCTAGGCCAGCAGTAACACTTTGAAGGGCTGTATTCGTAAGTTCTCTCCTGACCCTTCGCTGAATTGCATATTACTGTTAAGAGATTGATCTCACTTCGGCCCATAGCAAGACAAGTTGTGGCCATTTCTCATTCTACGCATCTACATCCCGTTTAGCCAGCGCCTTTGACATCAGAACTTTACACAAACTGACATCAAACCGAGGTGACTGTTTACCATTAACACACGGTTCTCATCACCCCGCAACAAAGTGCACATCCTAACGCAACATGTGCATGCCCAACTTACTCGTTTAGGAAAATGCACCATGATACAACCTCCTCCCTGCCACGTATACCATCAAACCATGGCCAGCACCGCAACTAGGTGTAGCATGAGCCTTCTCAACAACAATGACAACCATCACGTATGACGTCAAAGCCAAATCTCCGCTCCACGTAGTCCTCCAACTTGGCAGTCAGACTGCAACAAAAGAAACAAATCGCAAGAATCTTGCAAGGAAAGTAGATAGTTCATGTCAAAGCATTCGGAAAAAGTGTCCAGCCAGCACATCTTGTCACCGCTTCCACTGATGCTGTATGTTTTTACAGCGGATAAACATGTTCCAACCCGAGAGGGGAAACCAAGTGCGTTGTCCGGAATGAGAGAAGGATCGTCATTTTGTTATGTAATTTCCGATCGGAGTTGTTTCTTTTTTCTTCTGCCTTGCGCTCGGTGGAAGTAAGTTTATTGGGTCATGCGCTTTGACCTCATGGTTGTATAACCAAGGTGTGTACCAATGTTCCTCCCAAAAGCTTGATCACTCCAATTGAATGCGCGCCAGTATGATATTTGTAGAGGACATGTCAAACCTGGCTTTTCAAGGCACTACTGTGATATTCGTGATGTATATGGGTTCACGTTATGCCAGAGAGGAGACTCGTCAAGGCTCGTCGTGCAAGATGATTGCAAAGGAGAACAAGAAATCACTGAGAGCAGCTCGTAGCACTTCGGGTACAGCAAGCGCATGGATGACTACCCCAGGTTCCTTTTTAGCTAACCGTGATGCCCGGCGTCTTGGAAGTCTACTCTTAAGCCAATTAAGCTCTTTGGGGACGTTGCTAGGCAATGCAGGCTAGCACGGAGATGGTCAAGTGAGGAACACCGGTTCGGTATTTCTTTTGTCGGAATTATGACGAAGCACATTTCTTTTGATTCCCAGGTGCCAGTACCGCTTCTCATTCTGCTTTAGGTAGTGATCGTGCCGTTGTGGGAAACTCTATCCTGCAGGTATTGCTTCTTCTCTCGTTGTGCTCGGTGGAATCCAATAGTGGTGGGTGTTCGACACTGCGTTACCAAAGGAACCAGTGCAAGTTGACGCAGCCATGGTGCAAATACTGTGAATTCGGCGTTGACGTGGCTGCGTGCATCGACTGAGGGAATAGATATATAAAGAGGCAGCATGTCCATTCCAGTGCTCATCATCAAACATCAGCATCTTCTTCCAACATCTAATTCATTAATCAGTCAATCGTTTCTCAACTCACTCGTTTCACCAACGATCATCTCAACACCAGTCAAAATGCGTTTCACTACCATCACCTCTCTTCTCGTTGCTACCGGTGGCATTGCTGCTGCCGCGCCCCTTGAGTCGGGCATTCTTACTGGTGGTCTTCCCGCACCCGTCAAGGCCCGTGACGACGCTCTCACTGGTGGCAGTATTGGGGGCCTTGTCGACCGCGATGATGCCCTTACCGGTGCTGTTGCTACAGGCGGTGCCTTCAAGGCCCGTGACGATGCTCTTACTGGCGCTGTTGCCACCGGCGGTATTCGCAAGGCCCGCGGCGCCGGGGTTAGCCTTGAGATTCTTCGCAGAGAAGACGATTCACTTGAGTCAGGCGCTCTTACTGGCGCTGTTGCTACCGGGGGTGCCTTCAAGGCCCGTGATGATGCGCTCACTGGCGGTAGTGATGCAGGCATTGTTGCCCGTGACGACGCTCTCACTGGCGCTGTTGCTACAGGCGGTGCCTTCAAAGCCCGTGATGATGCTCTCACTGGCGGTATTCTTCAAATCCTTCGCAGAGAAGATGATTCACTCGAGTCGGGCGCTCTCACTGGCGCTATTGCTACCGGAGGTGCCTTCAAGGCCCGTGACGACTCCTCCTGCGCCGTCGCCACAGTAGGAGACTACACATGGAAGATCACCAAATTCATTGGACGCAAGCCCCAAGGCACCTTCTACAACTACATTGCCTTCAATGTTCAGTCTACCAACCCGGGATCTTCTCTTGATTTCCGCTGCTCGGTCACTCAGACTCAGCTTCCGGACTCCAAGTTCATTACTTGTGATGGCAGCAACACCTTCCAGTTTTCATTCCAGAATGAATACAACGGCTTGATGCTCAAGTACGGAGATGCACCGTGAGTCTATTCCAATCTTCTGTTCCGGGTATCGTCCTGTTTTCAAGGCAGGGTTATGCTAACAATCCTCTCCACAGTAACGCAATGGCTGGAACGACTACCGTTCCCGTTGTTTGCCGTGCAGGCGGCAATGGTGCTCAAGATCTTGTCTGTGAAGGTGTCCAAGATACCTACATGACGCTTGTGAAGTCTCCCTTCCAGTAGAACTAAAGGACACCATATATGGCTTTTCAGGCTCCTTGGTTATCAAGAGAGAGAATTGGTACAATAAGAGCAGTTTCTAAGTGCGAGGATAATGATATCTAATGATGAGGCTGTATGACTAGCAGGAAGGGGTAAAAATAGAGGAGGAATTGGTAACTGTACGTAGATAATTAGCCTAGTTACATGGTAAATGAATGAATGGATATCTAATGACCACAAAATTCTTAATTGGCTCTTATCCGGTACTGCCTTGGTAATGATGCAATGGTGTCGTTGATTCGGGATGAGATGAAAGAAGAACCAACGTTTCTACTTAGTCTTCACGTGCAACAGCCCCAACTCTCGCCCTAAACGTCGCCCAACACCAAAATAGCGGCACCACTACATACGCACCACCGTATGTACATCCTGCAGCTACCAAACCCTGACGTGATGTCGTACAACAAGGTTGCTGCTTGAAACACATTTCGCGACGAAAGACGCAAGCTTGAAACTCCAACGACCTCCTTTGCCACGTGACACGCGACGCGGCGCGTTCCTATATCATTAACGGCAACCCCCCTTGCTTCGACAATCCAAGAAGAACAAAAAGTTCCAACAACACAACCAAAACATGGCGTCGCTGCTTGCCGGAGCGAAAGATTTGGCCTACAATCCAGATCACACACGATGGATGATACCGCTGTTACTCGTCGCCGACGCCGCGTTGAGCGGCGTGATTATTGAGAAAATTCCATGTTCGTCTTCACGTCCTCTCTCTCTCTCTTTCTCGCGTTACCACGTGGCCTTGACCCGCCAACATTTTCCATCGACAACCACTAACGAAGAACTATGAGGAGCAGATACAGAGATAGACTGGTCGACATATATGGAGCAAATCTCCATCTACCTCAAGGGCCAGCGCGACTACAAGCTTATTTCCGGGTCGACAGGCCCGCTTGTGTATCCCGGCGCTCATGTATGGATTTACAAGCAGCTGTACAAGTGGACCGATGAAGGGAGAAACATTCCGCGTGCGCAGTACATTTTTGCCGTTGTCTATCTGTTGACGCTCGGTGTTGTGTTTCAATGCTACCGGAGAGCTAGGGTGAGTATTTATTTTTCGTCTATTCTTGAGTTTGGATTGCCCGGAGTGCGCGGCTAGGAAAGAAGATGCTCATGCAGTGCTAACGCTGATGATTAGGTACCACCATACATCTTTCCACTATTGATCTTGTCCAAGCGGCTGCATAGCATCTTCATGCTACGCTGTTTCAACGACTGCTTTGCTGTTTTGTTCTTCTGGCTGGCCATGTATTGCTACCAACGCGATCAATGGCATCTGGGAAGTGCGCTCTACACGACAGGACTGAACGTCAAAATGAGCCTGCTTCTGCCATTGCCGGCAATGGGAGTTGTCATGGTGATGAAGCTGGGCGGACGAGAGGCGCTGACGCAAGCTATGATCATTGTTCAGGTCTCGGTACGTATACATTGTATTCTTCGCACACGTCTATTACTCAAGATCTGGAACGGACAATGCAACCTTGATGCTGATTGTTCTACAGCTTTTATACGGCTATCCCTTCAGAAAACAGGCACCCAGTTACTTTGCTCGCGCGTTTGAATTCAGCCGGGCCTTCCTCTACAAATGGACGGTAAACTGGCGCTTCGTTCCGGAAGAGACTTTTCTTTCTCGACGTTTTGCCCTCGGTCTGCTCGCCCTGCACGCTGCCCTTTTGCTCTGGTATGCACGCACCCGCTGGATCAAGCCATCTAAACGCAATGCCCGGGAATTCCTCAAGCTCTGCATCCCAGCCATCGAGCCCAGAGACCAGGACATCATGTCCAGCAAAATCACGCCAGACTTCATCATGACCACCCTTCTGACCTGCATGGCGATTGGCATGCTGTGCGCAAGGAGCCTGCACTACCAGTTCTACGCCTACATTGCATGGACCACGCCCTTTTTGCTGTGGAAAGCAGGATTCAATCCAGTCATTGTGTATGCGCTATGGGGGGCTCAGGAGTGGGCGTGGAACGTGTATCCGAGCACTCCGGCAAGCTCGGGGACGGTAGTGGGAGTTTTGGCGGTGGCGCTCATGGGCGTATGGTGGGGGACGAGGAACGAGTACGTGGGTGTGACCAAGGGCGTCATTGAGGACGACCACCCACACAAGGAATGATGCGGGCTTCGACTGAAGCCTCACTCCTCGTCCGAGTCTGAGGGCGGCATCTTGCCGACGACGGACTCTTCCTCGTCGCTATCCTCGGCGTATGTGGATTTCTTGGCGAATTCCTTTGGCCTGTAACAGCACATCAGCATCGTGTACACATAGTAGCCTATGATACCCATTTCCATACCAGTAGCTCATCTTCCTCCACGCCTTCTCGTCCCTCACCACGTTTACAATCTCCCCGTCCAGCTTGTTGTCGCGGTCGGCCAGGGCAGACGTATCTATGACAACATAGCTGCCCCTTTTGATCCACACCGTGGAGCGGAATTTGGCCTCGAGCTCGGCGAGGACAGCCTTTCCGTCGCGGAGCTCGGCAGAGTAGAGGTTCTTTCCTTCGGCCTTTGTGATGCGCGCGAGGAAGTGGTTGGGCGGGAGCTCATCGGGCGGCGTAATGGTGCTGTCGATGGTGGCGAGAACGCTGCGCTTTGGTCGCGGCATCTTGAAGAATGCGGTGGCTCTGCGTGTAGGCGCAGGCGGGGTATTATTGCACAGAGAGGGCCGATGGTTCTGGTGGCTTTCTTTTTGGTGGAGCGAGGGGCCGATGGGCCGAATTTGGCGACGCGAGGAAAAAATGGCCGATGTCGCGCGCGGCAACTTGGCCCGCTGTCACGTGCAAATCTCGCACTTTTGCGCTGCAAGAGGAAAGCAGTCCTTCCACTTCCTGCACGCACACGCCCTGCTCGAGATCTATCTTTCTTACTCCCCCACTTCGCGGATACGTTACTCGATTCGAAAGGGATCAGCAATGGCTACACAACGGTTCAACGCGTCTGATAGCTGCACCTGATAGGGCCGTCGTCGGGTCCGGCGGCCGTTGATTCGGTACTGAGGATGCTCACTCTATGCAGAACACATCAGCAGTGCTGCTCATTGCTCGGCGTTTGGCCGCCAGCATTTGTTGAAGAACTGTGTCTTCGCCTTCTCCCGTTTGGGCTTGGCCAGTCTACTTGCTATGACTCCACTGTTACTGGAATACCGTTGAGCTTTGAGCAACTTTTGCATCTCACTCCTCTCGCATATTTGTCCTTCACTCCAGGCTACCAGGGAACTGGGGCAGCTCAAAACAGTCACCACCATGTCGGCGACATTCCACAGCCTCTTCGATATCCAACCTGCCTCCCAAATTACCAATCCAGAGCCTACTCACCAGAAGAAACCCGACATTACACTCCACAATATCGGCGTTTTACCAGACATTGAGCTCGAGCACTTTGGCTTGAGCGGGAAGCACACTGACCGCCAGTCCTCTCCTGCAGAGTCATCGCCTCGCAAAGGGAACCAGACTCCGAAAACGCCCACTGAACTGGAAAATAGTCGGCCTGCAACACCCACCCATGACGACGCCTTTGTTCGAGAGCGCACATGGAATGATGAACCCATGACTCGGTGGCGGATCTTATGCTGTTGCTTAATCTACTTTTCCAATGGCATGAATGACGCAGGTGCGTACAAAACTGACTACCAAAATGCGTTTGATGCCATCTGAGTGCTAACATGAACCAGTCGTTGGCGCACTGATTCCCTACATGGAGTCCTACTACCGCATCTCGTACTCGATCATGTCTCTGGTCTTTGTTGGCAATGCCGCTGGTTTCATTGCAGCTGCTTTCTTCACAAACACAATCTTGGGCAAGTTAGGCAGAGCAAAGACTTTGGTTGTCGCCGAGGCGATACAGTTCTCAGCGTACATTGTTCTTGTTTGCACGCCTCCCTATCCCCTCGTCATCGTATCGTATGTACTCAACCTCATGTTGCCAATGCTAAGCTAATATGTATAGCTTTTATATACTGGGATTGGGTGCGGCGGTCAATCTGGCACTAAACAACGTCTACTGCGCGCACACACATCCTCCAAGCGTCATCCTAGGCCTTGCACACGGTAGTTACGGTGTAGGTGGTATTATTGCTCCCATCATAGGAACAGCTATTGCCTCTCGGGGAATCATCTGGTCACGTTTCTACTTCCTCTGTGTCGGGCTGCGAATCTGCTGCATGGCTTTTGCCGCTTGGTCCTTCTGGTTCTTCAAAGAAGATACCGAAGCCGGTTTCCTCGACACCACAACCAGCAGGCAGACAGCCACCGAGGACACGACATCGAAGCTCAGGAATCTTAAGCAGGCTTTGAAGAACAAGGTCACGATACTTGGTGCCTTGTTCATCTTTGCGTACCAGGGTGCTGAAGTCAGTATTTCTGGCTGGTTCATCTCGTATCTGATCAAGTATCGAAACGGTGACCCTGCCACAGCCGGTTACGTGACGGCTGGATTCTGGGTGCGTGTCTCTAAATATCTTTACATCTTCTCTACTAACCATAGTACAGAGTGGCATCACAGTCGGACGCTTCGTTCTAACACACGCAGCGCCAAAGATTGGTGAGAAGAACTATGTCATCATCCTTACGCTTTGCAGTACCTGCCTCCAGCTTTTGGCCTGGTTGACTCCAAATTTGATTGGAAATGCGGTTGCTGTGTGTCTTCTAGGTCTAGTGCTCGGACCCGTCTATCCATGCGCGCAAACTATCTTCTCGCGCCTAATGCCTCGCCATGTCCAGACGACGGCGATCGGATTCATTGCTGGAGCAGGCAGCTCTGGTGGCGCGGTGGCTCCTTTCACCACTGGTATCCTTGCACAGGCCGCAGGCACTTGGGTTCTGCATCCCGTCTGCCTTGGTATGTACGGTGTAATGATGGCTTGCTGGATCGCCTTGCCCAGGGTGCGCAAGCGAACGGAGTAGAGCAAGTCTGCGGAAGGTCGGTGACAGAACGTCACAACGACATGGTATCGTGATGCAAGACATGCAAACGCTTAGCGGTGCTTATCGCCACAGACAACGAAAAGCTGTGATCCAGCCAAATGCGATGTAGGTGTATGATGACATGGTGTAGATATCAGTCACCATGACATCATCCTCCAGCACGCTCGGAATCCGTGGAATGCGTTACTACAAGAGCACGCACAACAGCCAACATATATCAACACCTAGAGTCAAGTTAAATTTGTATCTCAATCATCTCAGAATTTCTCTCAAGTTTTCCTCCATTCCCTCTGCTTTGATCTTGCACATCTTTCCAATCCACGAGAAACAAGGAAATCTGCAGCCATGTCAGCAGCAACACAAACAATCCAAATGCTCAGCATATCCACGGCATTCATAGCCTCAGGCGGCATAGCAGCCTTCTCCCTCTTCGACATCCCCATGTTGAAATCGCAGCCGGCTTCGCGCTCCCTCCCCATGGTCCGCTGGCTCTTCTCACGAGGCTCGCACGTCTTCCCCACCGCGGGCTTTCTCTCGTGCTCCAGCTTCCTCTACCTCGCATACGACTCTCTCCCTGCTAACGCAACATCCTCGGTATCCAGCCTACTCCGCGGCCTTACAAGCGGGAAAACGGCGTACTTTGCGTGTGCCGCCATGCTCTGCATCAGCATAGCGCCGTTTACGGGTCTCGCCATGGTCCCCACCAACTTCACGCTGATACGCAAAAACGAGGAGCTGGGCGGCGCCCGCAGCGCAGCTTCTGCAGCGTACCGTGAAAAGACGGGCGCTGAGTCGCGCACGGCAGACGACTCGGTCAACAACAAGAACGACATCAGTCAATGGCAGGACCTGAGCACGCCCCAGGAAGAAACGAAACGCGATAGCAGTGAAAAGGAGGACAAGCAGGTCGTCGAGTTGCTGGACAAGTTTGCACAGCTGAATATGGTGCGCGCGCTGGCTATAGGCGCTGGCGGTCTAGTAGGATTGATGGGGGCGCTCGCGTAGCCTACAGACATAGATACATGCGTACGTACTATACCTCGATAGCCGGTCTAGGTCGGACATGTAGACTGACAGCCTCAGCTATGTACACGGCTAGTCAGTCGCTCATGCAAGCCATAGTGCCAATCTTATCATCCTCTTTTGTGGCGGAAACCTTAATCCTCTCTCCGCTTCTTTCTTTTTCTCCCGCCAACCACCCATTCCATGTACTGTACTGGTATGTACTAACACCTACAATTCTCATCTGTATTACAACATGGTGGTAAAACAGCGTATCCGTCTCCCAATCAAAGCAGTTGCTTGACAGCGATTAAAAGCCGACTCCAAGCCATGTCTGCTAGTCTGACAGGGTAATTCGCGCGTGCCATCCATGGTACAGCCACCTTGCCACCCACCCCTTCCCAAGCGAGCGCATTAGCCCAAACGCAATATGTAGGGGCTGGAATCCTGCTAATGCCAGAAAAACGTGGCTTACAGCAGCTTACATGGTGTGTATGCATGCCCTGTATGCATGCATGGGAAGTGGGAGAGCGAGTGCAAGAGAGTGTGAACACATGATACTTTTATCTAAGTGGCGCGCGTGCTCGCCTTAAAGCTGATTGAAAATAACATATGAAGCCACGGCGAACTTACTTCTTGCTGAGAATTTCAAAAAAAAACGTCTGTTGTCGTGCTTATTTGTTTAGTTTCCCCTACTTTACTCTACCTCCAGGTAAATAAAAAAAAGAAGAAGAAGAAGAAGAAGGAGAGGTTTCCAACTACATACAACCATGCACCACCACGTATTCCTACCCGAACTCCTACTCCACATTGTCTCGTTTCTGCCCGCCGCAGACATAGCGAGCTGCCACGCGGTGTCGCGCGCATGGAGAAACATGCTTAGGACCAGTTTGCCCGCTCGCATGCGTCCTTTACCCGACAATTGCACTACTGCCATTACTACTACTACTACTACTACTACTATTACAACTACCACAACGACTCACGCCGCACACTCATCACCAACACCACCACCACCACCACCCGCCCAACCACATCTCGACGACCAAATTTGGCGGCGCCCGCTTCCAAAGTCCGTGTGCTCGCTGGCCCACGACATCCAGTACCAGACGTGCCAGTGGCTCAATCCCACGATGCTAATCGACATTTCGGAGGAGTACTACGCGTGGCACGAAGGGGCGTATAGTACGCTTTTGAATGCGCTGCTGCCGCATTTACATCCGATGCTGGGCAGGCACGTGTACGACTTGCTAGGCGGGATCGAGGACATTGCAAAAGGGAATATGGGGGCGTGTGTGCGGACCAAGATGAGTGTGGGCGAGTTTGAAGATATGTTTGGGGGCGAGGCCGAGGCCGAGAGGTACTTGACTAGGCCGTTGACGAGGAGCGTTGAGATTTACTGTGTCTCGGGTGCGGTGTGGGATACAGGGTATAAGAATGTGCAGTCGAGAGCTGCGTATAGCGAGTGGCAGCAGCGCTGTGTGCGGGTCGAGCGAGAAAAAGGAGTTAGGATGTGCGATGTTGTCGAGGAGCTGAGGGGGGTGTTGAAGCCTGAGGATTTCGCTCAGCAAGAAGGCAATGCCGAGATTTTGCTCCAGTGGCAGATGGCGGACCTTCGTGCGACATCTGCTAATTTCGGGGGTATCAATAGCATATGGTGATGCGTGGTGAGGACATCTACTGCTACTATCAATGAGATGGCCATGACGGAGCTCGCCACAACCAAGTGGCGGACTTTCGAAGGGCAATCTCCGTAGCACGCCGGTCTATGTCAAGAATCACATGGATCAGTGATGGTGGGATCCGGCCACAAAGGAAGATCTGGCGGAAACCATACTCCACGAGTGTCGGGTTAAGCAGATGGTAATGGTGGTCGGACTTCAACTTCTCAGCGCTACACCACTTTCTAAACAGATCATCAGCGAAAAGGAGAATCATTCTATTATTCGTACACAAGATAGGGCCAGCCACCTTGGGCGGCGGGTTGGCAAACAGGAATTTGATACAAGAAGAAACGTAATACGGTCTACTTTCGATCTATCGCTGGCACCAGGCTGCCAAAATTAGGGCAAACTGTACATGACTTAAAAGTTCATCAGATCTGGTATGCGTTAGCTTCAAGCACTTGGCATTTACGGACTGCTACTCACCTCGTCCAAAAAGTGCTCTCTTTGTCCAGTCCATGGCAAGCAAGCACCTTGTTCTGAAACTGACACTCTCGGCGAAATACACTCCTCTCCACAGGTAGACAGCTAGTAGGCCTCCACTAAGACCGTAGCCATTGTAGTCGAAGATTGCCGCGTTGCCGATGTATGCCAAGGAACCCAGGTGCTTGTATTCAAAAGCCTTGTATACTGCATCGTCCAAATCGCCATAGTCGACATTGTTCATAGCCATGCCAGGTGCTGCTTGAGCAATCTTGTTGAACTTGCGACCGAGGTATTCGCCCTGCTGGTTAGCACGCTGGGCGGTGGCGGGAAGCGAGGTAAGCTTGGAGTCGATTTGGAAGAGAAGCTCTCTAAGCTCGCCAAAATCAAGCGTGCCAGACTTGTCCTTGTCGTATTGTTCAAAGAGCTTGTCTAGGCGGCGGAGATGGTTAGCTGCTTGAGGGAATCGTTGCTTGACGCGCTTGGCGATGCCGCGCCAGTCCGAGTAGGATATTTGCAGTTTTTCGGGGTCCTTGCCCTTTTCCCAGGCTGTGGTACGAAGAAAGTTTACAATGTGGTCTGAGACATTGTTTTGCACAGTTGCACAGTCGCCAATGGCATAGACGTCTCCAAGGGGCGATCCGTTGAGGCGGAGATGTGTGTCGGTTTCTAGGGCGTGCTTGTTGTTTTGGCCGTCGAGCTTCGCCGCGAGACGCTTGCAAAAGTCTGTTTGAGCGACACCAGTAGACCAGAGACAGAAGCCCATGGGGATTTCCTTGGTGATGACCTTGCCGTTTTCGTCTTTTTGTGAGAAGAGAATCTTGTCAGACTGGACTTCCTTGACGCGCGAGTTGGTGAGGATGTCGACCGAGTCGTGTGCAAATCGCTGCTCGGCGTACTGAGATAGAGCTTCTTCGTAGGTGTTGAGGATGTGACTGCGCGATTGGATCACATGGACAGAGATCTCATTGCGCAAAATCTTGGGGTAAAGCTTGCAGAGGTCCTCGTTTAGCATGTCGTAGAGCTCAGCCGCAAACTCTACACCGGTTGGTCCGCCACCGCAAACCACAAAAGACAAGAGCCGCCTCCTCTCGTCGTCGGATGTTGTCGGAAGGCATGCATTTTCCAGGTTTTTGACTACTTGATTGCGGATGATCCTAGCGTCGCTGATATCCTTGAGGAAATGGCAGTGCTCCAAACCCTTGACACCGTGTGAGTTTGAAACCGATCCAACACCAATCACCAGCTTATCGTAGGGGACGTAGAAGCGTTGTTCCTTGCCTTGGTCGTCTATGGCAGAGCATTCGACGAGCTTCTCCGAGAACTCGACGTCTTCAGCTTTTGCCTTGAGGAAATGTCCGTGTACTCTCCTGATAATCCTCCGCACGGGCTCGACAAGAGAGCGCAGTTCTAGTGTACCTACAGTCGCCGACGGCAGCATAGGTGTGAAGAGAAATGTGTTGGATGGCGAGATGACTGTCACGTGGTAATCGTCTTCATTCAGGTGCTTGAGGAGCGCGACACTGCCCCATCCCGTGCCTAGTATGACCAGCTTCGGCTTGTGCTTGAGTTCCTTGTTCTCGGGGCTTTCATCATCGTCGACAAAGTAGTTGGCGATTGGCAGGTTCTTGGGTCCGCCTCGTGGCGGGTTCAGGGCAAGCTCTGAGACAGGCAAGTCTTGGGTTATCGGGTCGTCGTTGTACGTGTAGGCATCGTAGACGAAGAAGGCGACGACGAGAACGCCGCTGACGAGGACAAAGGACCCGAGCGTTGTGATTGTCCTGTACGTGTACCGTGCTAGCCGCGACCTTTCAGCTGGGTGCGTCTTGGATGCCTTGTTTCGTATCGCGGTAGCGGCGGGGTACTGCTTGCTCAACGGAGAGGCGTGAAGGGTCGCGCGTTTGGATGCAGAAACGAGGCCTCGACTGCTGAAGGATGTGCGGAATTGAGCAGCTGGGGCTCGAGACAGTCTTGTGCAGAGAATGGAGGCTCTAGAGGTGGCATTGTAGCCGCGCGATAGCGATGCGGCGTGTCGTGGCAGCATGGCGGAAGCTCGGAGCTGCCGCGATGCAGCGGGAAGCTGGCGTGGAAAGCGGGTGGGCGGGGAGGTGAGGGCAACAAGACGCCCCGGGTAGGTTTGGTAGCAATTGAAGGGCAATTGCTCGATCAATGGCGTGGTATCATGTAGGGAGATAAGTAAAAAGAGCAATCTGGATATGTCACGGTTGCGTGCCGGGCAGGAAAGCGCGCAAATGTTTGTCGCCAGGGCTTGGTTACGTCACCATCAATAATGCAGGCGAGACCAGCCCCTGTCGAGTCAACGTGCCTGTCACAACGTCACAACATGGTCCGCACAAGCCTATGCCTTTGCGTATATTTAGAACAGCACTTGTCAACATTAGCATTTCGGTACATGAGCTAACGTCGTCTTCTAGTCGTACAACGGCATTACCATGTTCATGCCTGGCTATGTATTGCGTGTCTCCTGATTCGTATATACACTCGTCGGGCCCCATCAAGCCTCGCGCCGCTAACACGACCATACGCCGACAGTCCCGTTCTTGCGTCCTTCCACGAGGTATCCGTCCTTGATCCTGACATGCTCGATGATGGAGTGTGTCGTTGTGTCTTCTTCGTTGGCCCCAGGTCCACAGTTCCAGTGTCTTCCGTCCGTCTTGTCGTAGACCTTGACCACGTCCTCGCCCGCTGCAGCGACAATCCGGCGCGAGTCGAACATCATGCTGGTCACAGGGCCGTCGTAGGCGTAGGCGTCGGCGATGGCGCCGGTTCGGAGATCCCAGATCTGGCCTCAGTTAGCGACTCACGTGTCCGCCGCGCTGGATTCAACTTACACGAATGCTCCTGTCGGCGCTGCCCGTCACAAGATGAACATCGTCGAACTGCAGAGCAGTCACAGGCCCAGTGTGGCCAACAAGACTCCGGTGCACCTGGCCGCTTCGCAGATCCCACAGGCGCACCATGCCGTCGGCGGTACCACAGGCGAGTGCGGCGTCGAAGACCTGGATGGCTCCTACGAAATCAGCAGACGAGTCCGTCGAACGTCCAGTCTGTTTCCATGAGGTGTTGGTAGTGTTTGCGGCTGTTGCTTGTGCAGCAGCCCAGAGCACGTCGAGCGTCTGCACACATCGTCCTTTGACAAGATCCCATTGCCGGAGCGTCTTGTCGGCAGAACCAGAAACCAGTGTGTCACCGCGGAAGTGGAGAGCAGTGACTTCGTCAACATGCGACTCGAGAGAAAACATGGGGCAGTCCTGCATGCTCGTCGACGGGGGCGCAGGCGGTGCGTCTTCGGCGTTTTCAAATGCAAGGCCATCGTCGCTTTCTTCGTCGGGCTTGTTTATCCGGTTGTCCATGGGCGCATACTCGGCTCGGCTCAGGTCCCATAACCGTATCGAGGCGTCGACAGAGCCCGTGGCGACAATGTTGTCTTCAACCTGCAGGCAGCGCACCGAAGAGAGGTGGCCCTCTAGCATTCCTATGCACCGTCCGGCACTGAGATCCCATACGCGTACCGTGTCGTCGAGGGCTGCCGTGACCATCATGCCCCAGGGTGCATCAAAGTCCATGGCGGTGATGGACTCCAAGTGCGCGGGCAGTTCCTTGATCTTGGACCCGGGCTGCAGGTGCTCGTGCAGCACGGGCATGGACATGCGTTTTGAAACCCTCTTTGCCTTGCCTCTTGTCCGGGGCGACGAGGGTATCTTCTGGTATATCGACTCGGACATGAACTCGCCCTTGCCCTCGGACTGCTCGTCGCTGGTCTGCGAGCCGGCCGTCTTGGGCGCGAGGGCGGCCTCGTCGTCGAGCTCTTCCTGCAGGTCCTCGATCTGGTTGTCCACCGTCAGCAGGTCCTGCTCCAGCTCGCCTTCTTCCAGCTCCAGCCCCGCCAGCCGGTCAATGACCATCTTGCGCATCGTGTTGAGGTTGGCAATCTTGTTGTCGATCTCGTGGATCTCGGCCACGCACATGTGCTTGCGCACGCCCATCATCTCAAGGCGATGGGCCATGGTCTCGCGCTGGTTCTTGAGCTTGCGCATCGACGGCGGCACGTTGGGGTCTTCATCCTCGAGGCCGGCGCCAATCAGCCTCTGGCCCCGCGCATTGTGGCGTCCATGGGAGCGCGGGCTGCTGTCGGGCTTGTCTGGCAGCGAGGCCTCGAAGCCCTGGAACAGCGAAAACTCGCTGTTGTCCTCGGGAATGTTGGCGAGCAGGTCGTTTGGAATGTAGGCGAGGGCGCGCTGCTGAATCTCGGGCACGGATATGCGCGAGCGCACAAGCTCGCGGGGGGTCGTCTGGGCGAAGGAGAAGACGGAGCGCTGCATCAAGGGCCGGCGAAGCTCGCGGTGAAGCTCCCCAATGGCGTTCTGGTAGTGCTGGGTGACGCCCTCGGCGCCAATTAAGCTGCCAGCGGTCGCCGTGACTTTTTTGCCAAAGGCCTGCAGATGGCGGGTCTAGCGAGCATTAGCATGAGCCTGTGTGCGGCCATGGAAATTGCAGTGGGGCCGTTACATCTGGCAGCGAGTCGATAAAGCTGCCCTCGTCGTCGTCGCCGGCACGGCGGGGGCGCTGCGAGGGGCGCGGAGGGCGCGGGCTGGTCGACCTCCCGCGGCCTGGAGAAGCATGGCGGGCGGTTGACGAGGCCATGCGGGCGCTGGTCGTGGAGGGGGAGGAGTGGCGGGACGGTCAAGCAAGCGCGGTGCCGAAGACTTCTTATGTCATCATCTGTGTGAGGGGGCCGGCGGGCCGAGGGGCGCGTGTGGGTGGTGGAGGCGTGGCGGTGGTGATGGCGGGGGATGCTGTCACTGTCGCTCGCTGCGGTTCTCTGCTGCTGGTAGGCAGGTCTGGCCAAGAAGATTCTTTTGGTGTCGTCGAGCGAGTGAGTGCGGGCGGACCTCGCTCTCGTCGGCACCGTCTCTGCGTCATCCGCCGAAGCTGCGCGCCGAAGGTCGGGAACACCGCCATGGCCATGATGACAGCCACCCCTCTTCGATTGCAGCGGCAGCACCAGCAGCAGCTCCTCCTCCTCCCCCTCCCCCCGACGCACCATGGACGCGGCCATCGACCTCACCGACGCCTCCAAGGCCCTCGACCTGGCCAACATCCGCTTCCAGCTCATGTACCTGTGCTCCGCCCACTGCGCCTGACGCCCCCCCACTGATCGTGCCCAGCCGCCTGGAAGACACCATCACCTTCCATCTGATAGAGCGCGTGCAGTTCCCCCTCAACAGCACCATCTACCGCCCCGGCGCCGTCGACATTGGCGATCCCGCCGTCAGCCTGTTTGACTGGATCCTGCGCGAGCAAGAGCGCCTGCAGTCGCTGGTGCGCCGCTACCAGTCGCCCGACGAGTACCCCTTCTTCCCCGACGTCCTCCAGGAGCCCATTCTCAAGCCCATCCACTACCCCCAGATCCTGCACCCCAACAGTGTCAACGTCAACGCCAAGCTCAAGGACTGCTACATCCAGCACATCCTGCCCGCCGCCTGTCTGCAGACCAACCGTGAAGACCGCGGCGAGTCGCAGGAGAACTATGGATCCTCGGCCACGTGCGACGTCCTGACCATCCAGGCCCTCTCCCGCCGCATCCACTTTGGCAAGTTTGTAGCCGAGGCCAAGTTCCAGCAAGAGACGGAGCGCTTTGTCAAGCTGATCAAGGACGAGGACCGCAAGGGCATTGACGAGGCCATCACCAATGCTGCCGTCGAAAAGAAGGTGCTGGAGAGGCTGAGGCTCAAGGCAAAGACATATGGCACCGACCCCGACCTAGGCGCCAACGGCTCGTCCAAGGTAGACGCCGACGCCGTGGTCGCAATGTACAAGGTATGTCATTCACATCATACGAGTAACTGCGTTAACGACAAACTACAGGATTGGGTGATCCCGCTGACCAAGGAAGTCGAGGTAGAATACCTCATGCAGCGGCTAAAGGGCACGCAATGGGAGTAGATTCATAAACGTAACCACATTTCTTGGCCATTTACACTCCATTTCTACCATTCATGCTCTTGAGGAATCGCTCATTGACGTCTTCTGCAGAACGAGAACCTCACAGAGCAACCCTGACTCATCCACGGCCCGAGATTCAGCATACCCCTCCGCAGCCGACCTGGTACATTCTCCCTCAACCGCAACTGACCTACAGCAGCTCATGATGCTTGATTACCCGCGTCTCCATGTCCATATTGCGCGCTTCCTCCTTCCACCCGGACAAGCTTTCTCTCCAACCTCTGATCCCGCGTACTAAGATAGGTCCGCCAAACCCAGTGCCCGCACATACTCAAAAACAGCGACGCACTCGCAGTACCCGCAACAATATACATAGGAAAAGGCAACCCTGGCTCTGCAAACGAGGATAACATACTCAGCAAGATGCCAGTCGCCAGCCCGATACCCACGCACAGCTGCTGATACTCATCACCTTGGTTAACAAAATAAGGATGTTGAGCCACAAGAAGATACATGCACAGCATAAACACATAGGCCATCGTCGACGGGTTGTCAATCATCTTGACGACCCAGCTCGGTTTGCGGTTCCACGCCGTATGATCCCTCGACAAGCCGTAGTTGCGCAGCACATGGAGGACATTGACCTGGGTGTAGAAGAGCAACCACGACGCCGTGAACTCTGGTCGCTTTTGCTGCAGCTCTACAACACCATAGGTATATGCTATCGCCTTGCGGCTTTTCTTCCCACTTTTGTCGTCTTGGGCTCGGTCCCACCTGCGTGCCATCCGATCAGCAGACGCCAAATTCACACGCAGTGACAGTGCGACATTCTTGTCCTCGGCGACCCATATCAGTGGCGTGGTTGAGCGTCCGTTACTCTCACGTTCGGAAAAGACTTGTTTGACGAGTTTCCTGACACTCGAGTGGTCACCATTGTGCGGATTTGAAGAGTGCAAAGGCCGGCCTATTGTGGAAATGTACGTGTATGTCCATGATTTGGGTGTTTGCATTCGTTGCCCTGAACGAGGAGAGCGCGCGTCGTGAATTTTGATTATATCAACGGTTGAGTCGGTAAGAGAGTCGTTTGTGAAAAGCTCCTCTGTGGTGGGCAGTGTGTAGAGAGGTGCCTTGTAGTCTTGGGGTGTGGCTGCCATGGTGAGAACAACAGTTGCGGGACTGTGCGATGATTTCGTGATGTGTGTGAACAGGTCAGGAGCAGAAAAGGTTACGGGAGTCTTATCAGTGTTGGTTGAGAGGCTGTGTGCAGGATGCGCCTACACCTACGTCATTCAGTTGAAGGATTCAGATGCGCTGACACCTTCGTCATGCAGTTGACGGATTCAGATGCACTTAGTTTCACGACAGCCTGTGGCCGAAGCTACATCCGCAAGTCCTTTTCCAATGGACATCATTTCGAGGACCCGAGTCTCGCATTACAAGGATTTCAATCACGGCAACATGTCGAATCATTCCTCAACTACCTACACTACCTCGACTTGTCCAGCTGCCATGGCCTTCTCGTCCCGCACTGCCATAGTCTCATCTCGACTCTCTCTCAATTCCTCCACCAGGATGCCATGCGCCTTGAACGCAGGCTTAATGTTAAACAAGTCATCCATGCGCTCGAGCGGAATGCCCTTTGTCTCTGGGATCAAGAAGAATCTACCGCACATTAGTTTTTATTCCTCGAAACAACCACTTGAAAACGAGCAAGAGAGGGGGAACTTACACAAAGGGAATCGAAAGCAGCATGAGCGAGGCGAAAAACATGTACACGCCATATCCCATTGTGCTGAACATTTGCGGGGTAAAGCGCGAGATGATGAAGTTCCAGAACCAGTTGTTCGCGGCGGCGAAAGCCTGGCCCAGCGAGCGCGTCTGCTGGCTGTACATTTCCGAGTTGATGACCCAGGGCGTGCCGTTCCACGAGGGCGTGTAGAAGGCGGTCCAGAGGTAGAAGAAGAAGATTGCGCTGATGCCGCCGGGCGAGAGGTCGCCGTTTGCGGATTTGTGATTGGCAGGATCCGCAATCTTGATGTAGGCTGCAATGTACCACAGGCAGAGGGAGCCGCCCAGGGCGCCGATCATGAGCAGCTTGGTGCGGCCCAGGTGGTCAATCATCCAGAGGAGCCAGACAAACGTCATAACCGTCTTGACGACGCCGAAGATGCCCGTGGTGAGAAAGCCCTCGGTGACACCTAGACTCTTGAATACGGTTGGCGAGTAGTAGTTGATGGCGTTGATGCCCGAGCCGTTCTGCCAGAGAAACAGGATACCACCGAGCGAGATGCGGTAGAGCACCTTGCGTTGCTTGAGAGCGAGAAACTGTTTCCAGAAGCCAGGACCGACGGTGATGCGGTCGTGCTCAATCTGCGCGTCGATGGCCTCGACCTCTTCCACAATGTACGGGTGGTCCTCGGCGAGATTCCGGATCCAGCACAGGTCTTTCAGTCCCTGCTCGCGCTTGCCCTTGGTCAAGCACCATCGCGGTGATTCGGGCATCCAGAGGGCGCCGATGAGCAGGCATCCGGCGGGGATCAGCTGAACGGCGAATGGGATAAGCCACTGCTTATGGGACGGTGCCATGGTCTCTTGGAGTCCGTAGTTGATCCAACTACGCCATTGTCAGTTTTCATAATTCTGTGAAAAACGAGGTCAAAAGAGATAGGATGAAGGGTAAACTGACAAGCCAACCAGTCCACCAACCTGCCATCCCAGCTCGTAAATGCCGACCAAGCGTCCACGCACGGCCGGAGGGGACAGTTCTGAAATGTAAATTGGAACCATGTTACTGCAGCCGCCAACCCCCAGACCAGCGAGTACACGGCCGCCGATAATCAAGCCTAGACCTCGCTCACCGTTGGCACCAAGCATGAGGCCGGCACCGAGGATAAACTAAACAGCAACTTCTCGTCAGTCGTCTTCCTTGACCAGCAGACCGCCTTTCAAGATTCCACGCAAGAAAATACTACTCACAATCAAGACCCAAAGAATCAGCGACTTCCTCCTCCCGACATAGTAACTCGACACATATGCGCCAAAGGCACCGAAAAAGGCCCCGGCCTGGTAAACAGACACAATGTTCGCCTTTGTAGTGTTGAGGTGCGACTGACTCATCTCTGCAAAGCGGAATTCCTTGATGAAGGACGGCAGCGCCAGCGTAGTACCGATAAAGGCCGAGTCATAACCAATCATGCACGAGGCCCATGACGCGACGCAGGCAGCTGTGTAGACGCGCCAGTTGTACACGGCCTTTGGCGTTGGCCTGTCCTCGATGAGGGTGAGGAGACCCATTGTGGTAGCGAGTATGTATTGCTGTTCTCTGGGATCCGGCGGCGTGGTTCGACTCCCAGCGGACTGGCGGTGTCCGTACTAGCTGGGGGGGAGCGGGGACAGCGGTGCTAGTAAGAAGGAGAGTAGGAGGGAGTGTAAGTATGTATGTATGTCTGTATGTCTGTGTAAAGAAAAGGTGAGTAAACCTCGGTAGTAATCCACCCAATTGCTTCTAACCCAAGTAACAACTAGTGCTTGTAAAAACGAAGCAATTCCCCGGGGAAACCTGCATGTAGCTATCCAGCCGAGAAATTCACCGTCCAACTAAGCCTGTCCTTTTCTTCACAAGAGTGGAGCCCTCACACACACACACACATGCGCAAGACACTCACACACACACACCACAAGACAAGCACACTCGTATATCCCCACGGGGAACACCAAAACAAGGGGCGGGAAAAAGGGAACGTGCTAGACGCAAAGCGGTGTGAAAGAACATGGGCTTGGTATCGTGGGTGCAATCCCCCAAGCCACACGTCTCCCCCAATGAGGGGGCCCAAGGAAGAAAAGAGGAAAAAAACTTATCCTTGAGGCTCGTGCCTCCGGTATCGCTTTCCCACATGCCGTTAGCCAAAAACACACACACACACACACACACACACATACATACATACACACATACAAGTAGAAGATTTTTTTGCCCCGAAGGCTACACCCTTCCGACTTTTCCCCACTGGATTAAACCGCTTGGAGACAAACGGGATTGCGGGGAAGGAAAAGGGAAGAGGGGGGGGGGAGGGTAGTTGAGTGTCGCCAGCATTCTGCCGTGGGGCTTTTCTTCCCCCGCAAATCGGATGCTACGCCCAGCATATTGGCAAGAAGTCAGCTTGGAATTCCCTTTTTCCACACTCTGCGAGCCGGCGATGACGACGGCACGCTTAGCAGGGTCCTTGTTTGGGGGAGGGGGGGGGAAGTGTGTGGCGGGCCTTGTACATGGGGTTGCATAATGTACATACATACATGCATACATACACATGTACACATAGGCAAGTAGATGAGATCTCGCATCGTAGCGCGTGTCCTTTTCCGTACTGTAAGTATCCCTGTTCGATATGGAGCGCACCCCGCAGCGCGAGGCGCACATGCACATGAACATGAACCAACCCATGCATGCATGCATCGGCCCGTGGCCTCGGACACCGACCGGCTCTGCCACTGCCACTGCCACTGCCTCTCCAAGTACCTGACTCTTGGCCGTCTCCACATCCTGGCGACAGGGAGTTTTTTTTTCCTGTGCTTCTGACTGGCTGGTCCGGGGGCACGGGGGTTTGCGATTTGGGCGGGTGAAAATGGACTTGTAGACTGAGGTATGTGCAAACGACGACGACGACGACGACGAATGCAAGCTGGCGGGGGAAAAACTAAACAAAACAGTGCATGAGAATTTTTTTTCTTCTTTTGTTCACATACATGCACAGTTGGGGGTTGATGATATTGTGGTCTGCGGCTTAACTGGATGCGGTAATGCTATCTGTCTAACCTATCTGCATACCTATCTAATCTCGCTTTCTCTCTCTCTCTCTCTCTCTTTTTCTGGGCGTGTCAAATCTGTCAAACTTCAACCACACACTCACTCACAACTCGCAATGTCGACCGAAACCACCACTACCAACAACAACAACAACAACAACATACCAGACACATCCGCCACAGAGCGCCATGGCTACCTCTTCGGCCACCCAATCGCACACTCCATGTCGCCGCTGCTGCACAAGACCGTGTACGACAGCCTAGGCCTAGACTGGGCACAGTATCCCCTCGACTCGACAGACATGTCGCTGTTCCTGCGACTGATCAAGGACCCGCAATTCTACGGTAAGTAAAAAATAGCCGTCTTGACATGCATTTACGGGCAAAACACCGCCGCGTGCAAGATACTTTACTTACCATGATGTTGAAAAGGTGCATCGGTGACTATGCCGCATAAAGTGGCTATACTGCCGCATCTCGATGGCTTGACGGAGGAAGGTCGCGATGTCGGGGCTGTGAATACCCTGTTCGTCCAGCAGGACCCTCTGACGGGCAACAGAGTATACATGGGCACCAACACCGATGTGATTGGCATTCGCGACGCCTTTGCCTACAACGTCGATGCGTTCATGTATGAGAACAGGCCTGCGCTGGTCATTGGCGGCGGAGGCGCAGCAAGAAGTGCAGTCTATGCGTTGCGGAAATGGATGAAAGCCAGCGCTATTTATCTCGTGAGTAATATCCCAGAAAAGGAGAAGAAAAAAGCAGGCTATTCCAAACTCTAGGTTGAAGAGTACTAATGTAGGCATGTAGGTCAATAGAGACGCATCCGAGGTTGAGGCTGTAATCAGTGAATGCCAATCCCGCGGCTACGGCGACTCGCTCGTTCACGTCTCTACTATCTCACAAGCCCAGCATCTACCCGGCGTCGGCGCAATAGTAGCATGCGTGCCAAACTTTCCGCCTGTTACGCCCCAGGAACTCGAGGCCCGCAACATCCTTTCTTGTTTCCTGCAAAAGTCGCACAAGGGTGCGCTGCTGGAAATGTGCTACCACCCTTCGCCTTGGACCGAGATTGCTGCCATCGGCAAGAGCGAGGGCTGGCAGGTTGTGCTGGGAACTGAAGCCCTGATTTACCAGGGACTCGAGCAAGATCGGTATTGGACAGGGAAGGAGGTTAGCGAAATGCCTGTTGAAAAAGTGCGGCACGCGATTGCGAACAAGCTGAAGGAAGCGAAGCTATAGACGACATTTTGATTATAATCAAAGGTGAGATTCAAAGCTGCCTTCTCGTGAACTCAATCATGCGAACACCGGAATCCCTCGCTGATATCCTGTCTGGCTTCCAGATAGGTTTGCATTGCTGCAATGGCTGGTAGCAAAAGCATGGTCACACTCAGCGTCTGCCCGAATCCCCATACATTCTCTTCGTCGTCTTGCAAACCACAAAACCGCCCTGGATCCTCGGGGGCCGCAAACTTTTGAGTCAAGACCAGCGTTGCTGACAGAATGGCTAGTAGTATTTGGACCACAAATGCAATGGCTGGGTTGAGAAAGAGATATAGCATCAACTGGAGACCGCAACGAGCTGGACACAGGTATCGGACCAGGCAGCTCTTGCTGCGTAGTTCTGTATCCGTCATGCGGCGCACAAGAGCTTGGAACGAATTCACCGACGGTGATTCCACCCCACGACCTTCGGGGTCGTACAAGATGCACACCAGTGCCGTGGAAAAGCCAACCAGTATCAGGAATAGCGGTGCCAAAAACGACAGCCGTTGTGCTCCAGTCTTTATTACTGGCGCTCCGTGGTTCCTGGCCGTCAGGGCGGGAGGCAGGGCGATGGCAGCGATCATCGAGGTCAAAAGGAACACTGCGAAGAAGACGACGAGTGCAAGGCGGATCTTGGCAATGAGCTTGTACTTGCGGAAGTACTTGCGCAGCGTTATGAGAGCTGCGAGGTGCGACGACGAAGATAGAGCGCAGACGTAGAGAATTAAAACGAAGTGAGCGCCTTGCACCCTGAAGGCCTTCTCGGCTACCTGCGTGTACCTATTGAGTAGGAAGAAGCGGAAAGGAGACAGGACCATACTTTTATCCAGCCACTGAGTAATACAGCGTAGCCTGTGATGAGTTGCTGATCGCCAAAGCCAATGATGAGTGGATCCAGAAACGGCCGCCATGCATAATGCTTTTTCCACTCGTTCTCCAGAAAGCGCTCGCGGATATATCTGAATGGGGCTCGAGGTCTAAAATGCCCTTTGGTGTCGAACGCTTGGTCGAGCATCATAGCGAGGATCGAGGCGAATGTCGTCATGAAGCTTGCAATGATGAACGAAAGTACAACCTGGATATCGACATGTAAGCCAGGCACACTTCCAAGGCATTTTCCACATACGCCAATGCCGGCAATGTCGGGCTCAGATGCATTCGCACAGTCGCCACCAAAAGAGTCGATGCTGTCAAATGTGACCCACGGTGGTGCCATGCGACTGTTGAAATGGCTGTGCCGTAGTAATAGAGGAATTATCCAAGGTACAAAGCAAAGATGAGGCCCAACAAGGGGCGTCATCCGCACTTTGAGAGGCGGCGAGGTGAGAGGTGAGGGGCTTGTAGGAAGATGTGCAGGGAGCAATTATGTGAGAATAAGATGGATGGCGAGCATGGCGTTTGCGTGAGGTGTGAAAGTGGGTCGCCTTGTGTCGTGAGGCAAGAGCGGCAGAGAAAGTAGCCACCACTCGAATGGGTAGTGGCCTAGCATTACACAGATAGGCAATGATACAGCAAGCATCGTGTTAATAGTTTCAAGCGGATATTCGGGTATCAATCAACTATAGTCTACGCTTCACTTTTGTTTGCTCTTCGCCTTGACCCGGGCAGCGAGCTTCTTGATGTCTTCATCTGCGCCTGCTGTCTCCTGCTTGGACTTTTTAATCCCGCGCTCCGCTTCCGGCTCGTCGCCATCCCGTCCTTGCTTTCGCTTCTTGCGGCCTTCCTCTAGCAGTGCCCTCATACCTGCAGTCTCCTTGAATCTAGGGTTCGTGGGATCAATGGCAAACTCATGACTCTCGTACAGCTTCGCGAAACGTGGATCGGTCGTGTTGATCTTGAACTTGTCTTCCACCACTGGGGCGTTCTTCTTGGCTTTCTTTCCCTTCTTCTTAATCTGCTCCGACTTGAGAATTTCGTTCATGTCGAAATGACGCATCTTTGAATCGTCGTCTTCGGCCATGAGCAGCTCAAGATTGGCGCGCTCCGCTGCTGCCGCTTGGTCTTGCAGCTCTTGCTCTGCTTTCTTGGCCTTCTTGGAATTTTTGGCCTCCTTCTTTGAAGCCTTGGCAGCTTCTTCGGGATCAGATGCGAAGAAGGGGTCGTTGAACGGATCGTCATCTGCGTTTTCTGCGGCGGCCCCTGGCTGTTCAACAGGGGCATCGGGATCTCTGCCAGCCTTTTTGGCCTCCCATCTCTCCTTACGCTTCGCTTTCCTCTCCTTCTCTTTCCGGATGTACTTCTCCATGGTTGTCTCCTGCACAGGAATGTCGTTTTCAAACACGTCACCTTTGCCAGTCTCGTTTGATAGTCCGCCTGTAAAGGTGATTTGCATCTCGCTATCCGGCTTTGGAAAGTCACGGTCTTTCTTCGCAGACGCCTTCTTCTTGGGCTTGGCGCTCTTGCCCGATGCCTCCAACCCTAGAGCTGCCCGCAGACTTGCTGCCTTTTCTGCTTTTGCCGCCTCCTCTTCATCTTCGGACGACGAAGAGTCTGTACCGAGATATGCCTGCAGTTCATTCTCGTCAATTTCCTTGCGTGAAAAGGCACGCTTCTGGACTTCCTTTCTGGTGGCATCATCGGCGTCCCACGTCAGCTTGACCTTTGAGTGGGTAAGTGCGTCAGTCGAAAACTCGTTTGGCTTGTAACCGTCAGGCAGCTTTGAGCATTCATCGTGCGGATCCTGGTCGAACGTTGTGCCGTCGGGGACGAACCGGAGGTCGAAGAAGTTTGCACTCGTCAGATACTCGCGGCCATCGAGGTTGTCATAGATGGACTTTGCGACATTGGCGGAAGAGCATGTAATGACAGCGTAGTAATATCGCAGTCGGTCAAGCTGATAGGCTCGCAGTTTGGTCGAGTCGAACTCTTCGCCATTGTTATCTTCTTCCAAAGCGGCATCTGGCTGCTCTTGGTCGTCTGAATCAGAAGCATCAGAGTCAGGACCAGACACGCCAATGTTATTCTTGCCTTTGCTGGCTGTCGAAGCAAAGATTTCGCGGGGTGGACCCTCAATCTCCTCGCGCTGTAGACGCTCCATGCCAAACTCGCTGGGGTATATGACGACGTTGAGAATCCTTCCGTCTGCCGGGACGAAGGAGTTTGCAACTGCCATGATGTCAATGGCGCGGATGTTGTCCCAGTCCAAATTGACTGCAGCCAGGCGCGCCGAGATGTCGCCCGTGGGGACTTCGTGGCCGTCGCCGGCGAGCTCGGCCTGCTCGTAGATATCGACTTCTTCCTCTTCCTCATCGGAGCTTTCGTCCGACGACGATTCAAGCCCACCCCGCCGGATCAGATCGTAGCCTTTCTGCTCAACCCTTTTCATTTCCTTCCGAACAGCATTGTCCCGCTTGTTGCTGGACGGGCGCTCGGGCTCCGACTCGTCCTCGTCTTCCTGGTCATCTGCATCGCTGTCTACCTCATACAGTCTTTCGATGACCTTCTTGCCTGCGTCTTTGGATATCTTGCGGCCATATCTGTCGACCGAGGCCTTGTTGTAGAAGTCGGGGTCGCTCTTTATGCGCGCGAACCGTGCATCGAGTTTAACCTTGGTGTGCTTCTTGGAGGGCAGCCGGAACTTGGGGTCCGTCTCGAAGTTTGCGAAGCGCGGGTCGCCTGCGACATGTTAGTGCGCCGTTCAAGCAGGGGGAGCGGCGGCGCATGGCGTACGAGAAGCTGCGCTGGCCTTTTCGGCCTTTGCGGCTGTGCTTGGCAAGTTCTGGCGCTTGGGAAGAGGCATTGCTCGATTTTGACAGTGAAGGCGTTGTTGCGTGCGACGCGCTCTTGCGAAAGTTGCGAACATTTTCTGCCGGGCGGTGGCGGGCCGGCCAAGTCAGGCGCCCATTGGACGGCGCGTGGAGGCCCGAGCTCGATCAGGGTACGATAGCCGATCTGGGGAAGCTGCGTCCTGCGTCACTTCATGGCCGGGCCAGACCGAGAGGGGAAATGCATCACGTTCCCAACACTTTGCTGCTCTCACTCGCGCGCGCTGAACCTTCACTCCTCTCTCTGACCCGGCGACCATCACGAGCTTGACAGACACCGCAAAGCCGAACTCACCCACAATGCCTTCTCCCAGGCTTCTCACGTAAGTCGACCAACTGGGCTCGCGAGCTCCAGCTCCGCTCTCTACCAGTAGCTGACGCCGTCGCCCGCCTCAGCCCCCGAAATATGGTGATCCTCTCCGTGATATCAGTCGCTGGTGGCTACTTCACACTCAAGCCACGCGCGCTGGCCGACCAGCAGAGAGTGCGCAGTAGCGGTGACTTTGCAGTCTCGGTCGACCGATCCGGTACGTCCAGCCATGCTCTCTCCCAGACGCCCTTGGGTGCTGACCGCGAGCGATAGGAGGCGGTGTGTGAAGACAGAAGATACCAGCTCCATCCCGACAGCATCATTTCTGCTCTCTGGCGTTCGTTTTCAGCGGGACACTGAGTTTCGGCCCCTTTCAGCCAGTCGTTAAATTATCATATGCCTGTAGCAGCCCAGGCCGTCCGCGCGAGGGCAGCAGCCCAGACAGCAGTATCACGTAGCAACGAGTGTGGCCCGCATAAATAGTAACAAGATGCCATGTCTGCACACGAGAGCAATTGTTCGCCAGTGTTTCACGTGTCTGCTGCGCGCATGTATGGCCATTTCAGCTCTCGTACGTACATGTACACGTCCAACGCGCACGTCTCCAGGCGGCTTTTTATAGCAATGAGGACAGCGGCCGTTTCGCACAGCTCACCATGGGCCAGGTTCCTGCCTGGGGCTCGTGATTCGGGCGCTGCGTATTCGCTGGAAAGCCACCATTCGGCCGGTCCACCCGCTGCTAAATATAACTCGCTCCGCCTCCATTACGATAACCCTCGAAAATCACCCCCAATCACCCCCGTCACCCAGCCACTCGACTGCTCAATCACGCTACCAAGACGCAAGACAGATTCGTCGTTTGTCATGATACCGGCTCCTCGTCAGCCGTTGGCGTGGCTTCTAGTTATGCAGCTGAGCCACTTCATGCGCGCTGTCATTCCCACTGTCCTGGTGCCGGGCGCCTGTAAGTAGCCTGCATGCGTCCGCCATCAGCACGGAGGGTGCCGCTTTTTTCGTTCAACATGGATGCAGGCGACCCGCCCGGCCTTACCGTATAGCGACTGCTTACAGCAAGATCATCTACTAGCAGTACCTTGTGCAATAGGGTGGGCGCAGCTGCCAAGGGCTGATTAGGGTTCTGCCACACGCCCTCACATTGCTATAACCTTCGTGCGGTCCAGGGTCGTGTTCCGAAATCCCAGCATCCGCCACCTCCGTAATTCCTTCGTATAACCACCGCTCATCCCATGCTGTACCGTCGCTAACCTAGATCCCTCCATTCAACCCCCAACTAACATGGTCAACATGATGGGGTGCCGCCATCTCGAAAACTCGGTCCAGAAGAAACCTCAACAAGGAGCGAAAGACAGGATGCCACGTCGGGTCAACGTCGTAGCTGCGGCCAGCTATGTCCGTAAAATCTTCGAGAGCAAACGGCTTGCCTACAGTATCATGGGCGGATTCCAGATGTCTTGCTTGGGCAATGGGCGTGAAGTATCAGACGTACAGATTGCCTATGACGACAGAGACTTTGACCGCATCAAGAAGAAGCTCGAGGCAGACCCACGGTATGCTAAGGCCAGCCATACACATGGCACTCGCTGACAGCGACAGTGTCCAACTTCCTGCGGGCATGAACCCATTGACCCCGTCCAAGATACTGGTTCAAACAGGACCCCGGTTTAAGGATATAGCATGCACTGGCTCCGTAACAATCGAAGTCTATCTGCTGCCACCAGGTGAGTATTTTTGCAAGCTTGCGGTGATTACAAACTAAACACTTTGCAGGCTCGTACGGCACACCGCCCAGCGGCACTCTAAAGAACAATGTAGTCTTGTTGAGCGATAACACCGGAGGTGTCTTGAGGACCTTCAACGGCCTAAACATGTTATACCTGGTGAACACACTGGCTCAATTCTGCAAGAACCACAGCCTTGGTTGGAGTCCACTCGAGGACTTACTACTCGTATGCCAACGCTACGGAGGCCAGATCCAATCCGTTCGAGACCAACTGGATCAAAGAGCGATACACCAGAATTTTCTCAACACACCTTTTTTCGCTAGACTGCCCTTTGAGGAACAGCGCAGATGCTTTCAGATACTGGCCGGGCAGACTTTACCAAGTCAGCCAGTCATGAATGTTCCATTGCCTCAAAATGGCCACCCATGGTCGCAATCCGCTTTGGAAGTACAGCAAAACCGGATGTCCTTTTACAATGCGGCACCACGGCTCGACACAAATTTTGCGCATGGTCTCCAGAACCCTCAGCTGGTTCAACAGGACCAGCCTATGCAGATGCCACCAACCAAACAGAACTTACCGTGGATGAATCTTCCTAGTTCCCCGCGAGCAGCAGAGGCCAATGTTCCATCAGGAGATTCCAGATCGAGATACCGTCGCATCAGTACTTACAATGTCAGGCGCGTTTCCAGTGGCCCGCAACTAAGTGGCAATTCATCCAAGGAGTCACTCCACGAGCTATATGCGAATCAAAAGACTTCAGCACCCAATGTTCCTCCTCTTCCTCAGCAGCCTAACGAGAAGTCAGCAAGACTTAGTGTTCAACACGTAGGACCAAGCGTATCAAGTCAGGCACACAACTCCAAAAAAGACACCATATCTCGGAACCCACAACACCAGAACCATTCGGAGACATTCGAGATGCCAGCTACATCAACGCAACTAAAATCGATACCAGAGCACAGGGAAACAGGAGCTAAAGCAGGAAGTAGATCCACAGCGGAAAACACGCAGTCACAAGAAGCGCAACCGAGTAACCAACGGCGGGAACCGTGGGACGAGAAGGCGCCATGCAAATGATGGAAGAAGTACCGTTGTGAGAGGCTCTCGAATACCGTATACCAGTGTAGGAAATGTGGGGGGGGGGGGTGCAAGTCTAGGATTTCATTGCTGTTCAAAGCTACCAACCAAGTGCTATCTTGGACAAAGTTAGAATAATATAGGGATTAATATATTATATATACTCCCTTTTGGAAATCATCATATTATACATACAAATTCTGCTCGTTGCGCAGTGCAAGCCCGTCGCGATTTACTTCATCTCACGACACATAGCCTTGCTCAAATTGCGGTAATTCTGCCTGGTATTCCCGCGCCAGAATACTCGGATCCAGATTCTCGCGCACATGCGTATCTGAATAGTATCGTTGTTTCTTGTTCTGCGCGTTGTCCGCCGCAGCCGCAGCCATAGTCTCGGGCACGGGCGGCGACGCAGACGCCGACCGCGAGTGTGGCTGAGACTGAGGCTGCGCCTGTGGTGCCGTCGGTCGATACGCCTTGTACACGGCCAAGGGCGCAGGCGTAAGCGGCGGCAACGCAGCCCTCGCCAGCACCTCGTCTGCACATGCCCACTCGGTCAACCGCTCCTTTGCGCTCGCATCGTCGGCGTCGGAAACGGGGGGTGTCGCGTATCCGCTGTGTAGTTGTGTGAATAGATCAACTGCGTCCTGCATCGATGATGTGCTGCTCGCGAGCGTACTCGTGCTGTTGGCGTGATGATGATGATGATGATGATGAGACTGGGACTGGGAATGGCGGCCAGCTCCTGGCACGAGACTCGGGGGCAGTGCGGCTGATGGAGGGGGCAGGGCACGGGAAAGGCGCGGTGGAATGGGCGGCGCTTGTTCTGATGGTTCTGGGGGCTGGGACTGTGTCGGTATTTGGAGGAGTGGTGCCGAGACGGCGCGACGGTCGGACAATGCGGGCCTGATGGGGGCGGGGGCGCTGCCGATTTGCTCGACGGCCGAGATGATGTCTGCGGAGAGCTCGGCGATGATGTCGTGATGAGAGTTGGAGTGGCTGTGGGAGAGAGGCGGCGTGGGAATCGAGTCGAGCTCGTAGACTGCGGTGGTGCGGTCTGCTGATGTTTTGGTTTTTTGCGTCCGTAGTGGTGATGGCGCTTCGTATATGCCGTTGGGGCCTACAATGTGTAGTTGCTTTGGTTCTTCTGATGATGACGTCGCCCAGCGTCTTTGTCGAGAATCCCGCCTCGGAATACCTAAAGTAGTAATCCCATTTCCTCTTGAAGATCTCGGCGCCCTCGTCGTCCATGCCCTCGCCGCTCTTCTCCTTGATGAGCTGCGGCTTGATGGTGCTTTCCCAGCTGTCCAGGAACTTTTCGCGCCATAACCGCAGTGCCTTTGCGTAATGTGGTCCAATGTTCTCGATGCTGTCGACAACGAGCGAGCCGGCCGATGCATTGTTGATCGACGACACAAGTTCAGACACTGCTGGCAAATGGCCTCCGGGGAAAATATAGCGACGAATGAAATCATCCGACTTGGCGTAGGCTTCGTAACGGGCGTCGGGCATGGTGATGCATTGGAAACAGGCTATGCCGCCCTCCTTCTTGAGCAGCTTGTCTATGCACTTGAAGTACGTGACGAGGTACTCTTTGCCGACGGCCTCGAGCATCTCAATGGATACCACCTTGTCAAAAGGTCCCGTCTCCGGGACTTGGAGACTGCGGTAGTCACACAGAAGGACCGTAATCTTGTCCGACATGCCTGCTGCTTGTATCCGCTCTTCCGCCAGTTCTTTTTGTTCAATGGAGAGGGTGAGAGAAGTCACCCTGCAGCCTGTCCGCTCGACAGCGCGCATGGCGAAGCTTCCCCATCCTGTGCCAATTTCAAGAACATGGTCTGTGCCCTTGATATGTGTGTTGTCGATGAAGCGGTCGAGCTTTCGCATTTGCGCATCGTAGAGTGTTTCGCTCGCAGACGCGGGGTTCGACTTGGGAAGCCATATCGGGCACGAGTACGTCATATCTTGTGATAGGAACTCTGCGAACATTTCGTTTGAGATGTCGTAGTGTGCAGAAATGTTAAGGCGCGCATTCTTGAGGTTGTTGCTGCCTCGTACTAGACCGGCAAGACCAGACGAGATTGCGGATGTGAAGGTAGAACCGTTGGAGAGGTAGTTCCGGTTTAGAATGAAGAGCTGTGTTCATGAGCTAATCTGCGACCTGAGCATCCGTTCCAGCTGCAGGAACTTACCTCAAAAAACTTGGTCAAATCAGGTGTGGTGAATTCACCCAGCATGTAGCTCTCTGCGAAGCCCTGTTGAATATGAGCATTGCGTGCTTTCCGCCAGCCCCGAGCGCATGAAGATGCGTACCATGTCTGCAAAAAGAGCCAATCGCACCCAGAACTTCTCGTCGCGCACGTCAAGGAAAGCAATTGGCAGGCCTTCCTTGTCTGAGCCAAAAGCAACAGAGGCCTTGCTCGAGCCGCCTTCGAACACGACAAGCTTGCCATGCTTCAGATTCTGGAATTGCGAAAGCGTGCCGTTTTTGCATAGAGAGACCAACGGCCCCCAGGCCTGCGAAGTGACGGGGCTCAGAGCCGAAGAGACAGCTCCTGTAACAGAGCTGTAGACGGTCATGATTTCAAATGCTACACCTTCCAAGACAAGACAATTGGTATTTGAAAAAGTAAAACGGCCAATTGAGCGCGGAATCGGGTTGTAACCAAGCCTCTGAATCAGAGGGTGAAGCGGCGGCTGGTGCGATTAGAGGGCAAAACAGTGTATTCCCGTGGCGCGCTGGGGGTGAGCTTTGTGTTGAATTGCCGTGGCTGAGACAGCCAATTGAGTGGGAGTGGAACGCGAAATGGCCAAAAAGCAACGCGACAATGGTATCGTGAAAGCGCAGGAAGAAAAAGCAGCGAGGAACAAGAGCAACTGCAGCTGTTGAACCCTGGCGCAGGGCGCCAAAGTCTATTTCATAGTCGCATGCAGCGTGGCGCCTGTTGGCCGGAAAGGCCGGTCGCCGGCCGGAATGTTTCTTTATGCCGTCTTAAAGCCATGCGTGTTGCGTTGGATGTAGCTGAGGTGCAGTGTAGGGCAGGCCAGCCTTGCCACTTCGAGTGATCTATGACGCTGATGATCCAGGTTTAATATCGTGATCACGACGGAGCGGCGGCATTCAATTGAGCCGGCAGAAGGTGGGCGAGGTATAAGGAGCACCAGCCACTCGCCAATTGCCCATTTCCATTCGTTTTGAGTTTCCCGTAAACTGTGCCACTCGTCATGGTGGTGGACTGAGACGCAAAAGCTTGTCATGTAACAGAGCCGCACTTCAGGGTCCACCAGAGAGCATCCGAACCGGAACAATGTGCGGTGAGGGGTAAGTTATGCAGGGGCACGACTCTTAGTGTTTCGGGTTATTGGAGCCCTGCGATCGAATTCTGGTAGGCAATCGACGTCGGAGGATAGTGCGGGTCTGGAGTTCCTCTAATACGGCTACAAGCAGCAATATGCTGTTAGTAAGTCCGAAGTCCGTAGCGGTAGTCACAAGGTAGAGCTTGGTGGTAGCGGCGGCCGCGGGCCCCGGTTGCGGCGTGTGTTCTCAGCATGCTGATGTTTGCGAGCGTCGGGCAAAGATGAAGGAGGAAGGGAATGCAAGGGAAGAAGAAGAAGAAGAAGAAGAAGAAGAAGAAGAAGAAGAAGAAGAAGAAGAAGAAGAAGCGCAGACTTGAACTGGGACTTTAGCGCGAGTACATAGCCAAGGACATGTCGGTTTGCTGTCCAAAAGTCGTCATGATGAGCATTGCTACTGCCCAGGCGTCCGTGCGTCCGTGCGTCCCTCGGGGACACGCCGCGACGCGTCGACGCGTGCTCCGAGTTCGCTTCACCACCAGGCGACCGAAAACAGCCAGATATTCCAATTCCACAAGTGCATAGGCCAGCAAGCCGCTCACAATGCTCTCCATCCAGCCGTCCAAGCCGCAAAAGTGCACTCCTAATCTGCTGCCCGCTCGCATCAACCACAACGGTCCCATTTCCTCGACACCGCAGTACTGGAAGCCCTCGACCGACTCCAGAGGCACCCAACACGCCTACTTCCGCGGCCGCCATCTCTACGGCACCGCGCTTCCTCTGCCAGAAAGCTACACGGGTGCGGTCCTCACCGTTACCGACAAGCAATTACCGCAGGCCAGAGCACAGGCGCAATCGCACGGGGAAGACGACGACATGGAAGACGGGAACGAGGAAAACGACCGAGATGAGAGCATGCCTGTCGAAGTCATGATTGCAGAGCAAGTGGGTGAATTCAACGAGGTTGTTGTGTGGGGCCATGGCGGCGAGGTGGATGCCGGGCAAGACATGTTTGTCAGGGGGTTAAGAGAGTGGGTAGGATTTGCAGAGAGCATGCATATTGACGATGATGAGGAAGAAGAAGAGGAGACTCAGAAGGAGAAAAAAGAGACAGACAAGACGGCTTGAAGAATGCTGCGTACCGTTGCATGGTGTGGTGGTGCGTTGCGTTGTGAGCAGCAGAAGACGAGTGATACCCAAAACGACACACACACACACACACACACACAACAAGGCTATTAGCGTCCGACAAGCGCTCAAGATGAGGCTCCAGTGTCTGCCTCTAAACGTTTAATATCAGACACGCGAACCCTTACATCTTCCCTAGGCCTTTTTTGCCCCGTCAGCCTTAGCTACTCGCTCTAGTGACAGGCTGTGGGGTAATACTGACGTAGGCGCGCGGCGAACTCAAATCTGGGTTCAAAGCATCCCGCGCTGCCCGCCCGCCAACGCAGGGTCAACACGGCCGCAATCGCTTTTATCGGCGGGCCCTCGCGGTCGGTAGCTATGGAACTTGAGATGCGGGTAGGGGTATTTGCATCGTGGGGTTTTTAGCATGTAGTAGATTGTACCTGAGCACGAAAAATGAACGTTCAGCCATGTAGTGTAGTGGATCATGCCACCCAATTCAGTCTAAGTTTCGTATGCATTTCCCCATTTTCCATCTCGAACGAATTTGACTTGCTCAGCTTGCTAATGAGCCAAGCCCCTTACTCCGTTTCCAGCTTGCCAAATGGGACGCATAACGCGATTTGCACTGCTCATTCGTCCCTGTCCATAGCTCATAGTTTCGAGTCCACATCGCCTGTCATGCCCGTGTCTGAGAAGTCTACAAAACTCTCTTCCCCGTTGAAGCGCCTGGAGGTACCAACAGTCAGCAGCACGAAGAGTTACAGCAATCCAAGATCCAAACGAGACGATGCACAGCGTCCATCACGCTATTAGCAATACAGAGACAGGAAAGTTCAACTCACCACCCCCTTTCAGCGCCACCCGACAAATACGACGTATCCGAATTGAGCTCGCAGTCCCAATTGCCCGCAACACCCTTGTCGGCATCTCTGGATCGGCGTACAAACTTTGACAGGCCCGCCGTGTAGCACTGAAAGTCGTCGTCGTCGGGATTCTCCGGCATCAGCCCTGTCAGCACACGGCCCGCTGCTATCATAGTCGCGGCATGGGTACACAGCAGGACGGTCCTGGGCTGGTGCGGTTCATGATCCAGCGTCGTAATAATGTGCTCTAGCGCCTTTCGCACGCGCTGGTGCAGCTCGAGTATCGACTCCCCGTTGGAACCCGGCACATGCAGGGACACATAGTCGGAGTCTAGGTTGTCAAAGTGCGGCGCGAGGTGCTCGAGAGTCGGGGGCGCGGGATGCTCGAAGTGGGCGCGGCCAAAAAACTCGCTGGACAGGGAGATAAGCAGGAGGACGGAAAACAAAGTGAGGCACGAGTTGCCTGATGTTGTTGGCGTGCAGTTCATATGACCAATCTTCTCGTATCATATCGCCAACACACACCCACTCACTTACCCAATGCCCCTGTCCACTCTGATCTTGCCGCCTGCCTTGCCCTCGCTCAGCACCTTATCGCTGAAAGGCTTCAGGGTTTGCAGGCAGCGGTAAAAAGGACTAGAGTAGATTCTGTCGATTGGCGGGTCGATCGCAGCAAGGTGCTCGGCCAGCTCCTTGCTCTGCTGAACGCCCTTGGCCGTCAGCGGCGGGTCAGTGGGTATCCCGGTTGGTGACCGCGCCATGGATGCCGTGTATACACCTGTTTGAGGATCCACCGACCAGCTGGTCCGGAACTAAAAGACACCGCAGATGCACCGTTAGGAACCATTTTGTTGGGACTAAGGAGAGCGAGTCGAGACAGGTACGTGTGCGGGGTTGTGCTTGGAAAAGACACATTGTGGGGGTCGAGTAGGTAGTAGGGACAGGGAAAGAAGAAGAAGAGACGGAGCGCCGCGCATGCAGCGTGGTACCAATATGGAAAAACCCGCGAGCGACAACATGGGAAAGCGACAAAGTAGTATGGATTGGTATGAACGACCGAGGGGTTCAAGGTAGCTTCCCAGAAATAGAAGCGTATCCTAGGGTGATATGTTACGTGCAAAGGTGCAACCAGAGGCCAGAAACGGGCTTGGTACAAAGTAGGCTAGGATTCTTACGTACTGCATGTCGGACAATGTAGACGACTTCTATCATGATTTGTGATTGTTGTTTCTTGGAACCTTTCTTGGTCGCAAGGGCTGGATCTTGGGGGTCCGTAGTGTTGGCTTTGCGCGTAGGTGTACGATTTGCTCGGTGACGAGAGAGGTTCGCTACCAGTTTCCCCAACTACTTACCTCGGCTATTTTCCCTTGCTCGTCACTGGCTGCCCTCTGGCTGCCAAACTCCCTGATAGCATTCCGTCATGCTGATCAGAATGAATTGCCAATAAATTGAAACTGCTCATGACCACCGAAAACTGTTTGCTGCTATGCCAGCATGGTTTGTTTTTCGTATAGGTATAGCCGCCACAAAAGGTCGATGCAAACGGACCGCTGCCTGCATGCCGTGTTGCAGTCCGCTGAACGCACGTATACGTTACTTAACGTTTAGCTAACAGCCAACACTCCCGTGGAAAAAGACAATGCAAAAGGACCCAGCACGTACGAGTCGAGACCTTTGCCATTACCTATATTCAGCCATAGACCGCGTCATCCCCACGCACATCCATGGACCCCACGCTCCGAGCCGTGCCCACGTAACTGATGTAGTGGATGGACCGTAGCCCAGTCTTCGCATGCGACATTTCTGCAGCGATGTGCGTTTGCTGCAGCTGTAGTGCAGGAACGAGCTGCCATTCTGCGAAGCGCGTCGTCATGCTGCAGGCCTTTGCTGTTTATTGACAGCCATAAGCGGACGCCATGTTTATGCAACTGGAACAAAGGTGTTTTTCTCCAAGTTGCCTGGCCCGCGGAATGCGAATATTTGGCCCCAAATGTCGAGGCTTCTCAGCACCGGGAGGCTATGCTGGAATAGCGGCCCCCTGTGGAAGACGAGGTCCTATCTTTGGGCGCATGATCGACACGTCCGATGCGATCCACACTACGTGTAAGTATGTGCGATTCCTCTTCACGTGCCGCCCATGATGTGAGACGAGTAGTGTCCTTGCCTTGGGCGCGGGACGGTAGGGCTAGCGGCGGTGCAATTCACGGAATATAAGAGCGGTCCGCTGATGCTTCTCAGCCCAAGGGCCTTGCGGGGGGCCAATACATTGGTCCGCTGTGGGGTTTGTCATGACATGATGGGCTGACAAGCACGAATGGTTAACGATAGTGTGTGTTAGGAGTGTAGGAAGCTGTTGAAGGGTCCTGAAACCTCTAACGTACCGGGCATAGTGGGACCTTGCGGGTTGGGCTGACTTGCATGTAGCATTCAGGTCGGTCTCGCTGGATATTAGTGTGTTGGTGCCATTGCATGTTCCCTTTGCCCTTTTCCGCACATGCCCCAGCACGCGGACACAAGCCGACTTTGAATCGTGTTCAAGAGACGACACGGTAATACTACTGCAAGTCATCGACGATCACTACTGTTTCCACAGTCTGAATGCCACCGTGCATAGAGATTTCATGTTGGGATGCAGCGTCGTGTAGCGAAGTTGCCGGAGTCATGTCTAAACTTTGTCGATGATCAGCGGGGGCTGGTCGATTAGGGCGGGCTAGATGATTGCCCGATCCGCAGCGCTGGGTACTCGGAGGATCATACCGGGAAGACTGGGTCTGTGCTAGCTGCTGGCAAGCTTCTACGGTAGGGGTGGAATGCTAGCTGGGTGCAGTCGAACAGTGAAACCATCGATTTCTGATTCCTGAGGTGCAGATTGTGGACCCAGCGTTTCTTGGAAGATGGCGCATGTGGCCGCCACCAGCCGTCTGGCTAAGGAGCTACATGAGCTAAGACATGTCTAAAGAGACAATTGCATGTGTTTTTCATGTTGTCGACATGCTAGCCCGGGCAGCAGAAGACGCCGCCTCACTCTTGGTATGCATCTTACACCCGTTGATAGCCATCATGATGAGCAAGGCTCATCGGACCCGCGAGTCTGGTACCAACGTGAAAAAACAATCGTGGGCTGATGGCTGCCGTGAATCCAGTCGAGGGCGATTGCAGACTGATCTTGACGCGTGCGCGGGATGGTTTCATATTACTACACCAGATAGAGTAAAGCTACGCGAGACAGCCCGGCACTTGTGACTCTTGGCCTCTGAGTTGCTAGCCAGTCGAAGATAAGCCAGAAGCGACGTCTAAACCAAGCCTCACTCGAGTAATTGCTGTAGTCCGGCATATCGAGCACGTGCTAGACACTTGCCGGATGGCGCGCAGGAAAACGATCGCGTGCGACGGCAAAAGCGAAACAGCGCGTATGCCACGGATAAGGCGGTAATCTCAGCCCTCCAAGTTGCCTCGGGCTGATGTAACGTGGGCAGCGTTCCCCTGTTGGAGCATCCCGGAATGATGCTACCGTCAAGCTGCAGAAGAGCGCATTCGCATTCGCTAGAGATTGAATTTCACCCTGCACAGGACGACTTGGACGAATCAGCATAATTCATGTGCCAATTGCGCAGTATAATCGACAACGTCATAGAGTAACGGGGTGTAAGCGTAACGATTCCAGAAGCGCATGCTCGCCTTGTCCAAACATGCCTGCGCTACCGGAACCGATGGCACAAAAGCTTGCACTGACGTGGTGGTTCGTAGTCGTTCATTCACTCCTGATGCTGCCTTGGTCAACCATCTCGTCGTGCCCAATTCACACGTCTCCTTGGCAATTGGACGCCATTCCACTCACGTGTATGATTCGTTGGCTATCCACGACTCACATGTACCGGCGATTGATTGTGAGGCGTCGCCCGTGGCAATGCTTTTCGACGCCCATCGCGACCACATCCATTGTGGCATAGATAGGCGGCATCGCGCGTGATCAGCGTCCGGGGCAGGTTCGCTGGGGCTTGATCAAGGCCCACTGAAATCAATCGCCTCCCTCCCACCTACACTAGGTAGGCGTTCCACAGCCGAGCCAAATCCAAAAGGGAGGGGACGGCATCCAAAGGCTGCGACACAAAAGCAACTGTTCAATGGTTGAACCAGGAAAATGTGACGTGGAATGATGCAGTGGTTCTGGGCTGTCGGTTTTATTACGCGCCAGCCACTATTGCAGCATGTGCCCTACGGAAAAAAAAAACAAAGCGAGGCGCTTCGGTAGATCTGGTATAGGTCGGGATCTGGTGGCTGACAGCCCTCGGAGGGTTTGAGGTTAAACTAAAAACAGATGAAGGCAGCAGTGGCCGGAAACAATCGTCATGGCCAAGCAAATACTCAAGCATGCAGAGAGCGCGCCTGTAAAGGCGTTTAGCTCACTGCTAGGCATGCCGTGTGGTTGACTTGGGACAGACGGTACGCATAAACAGGGACATAGACAGGAGCGACAAGTGCTAGGAGTCGACAGGGGTGCTGTACAGTGAGGGGATTACTGGATTATTGTACAGCTGGGCTCATTAAGGGTGACAAGGAAACGACAGGCTTGTGACGTGCCATGCGGTCAAGGTTGAGTATACGTGGAATCGCCACCACCAACTACTTGGAGCTAGTGTTGTGTAGCGAGATATCTTCGAGTTCGGCACTGGCCGAGACGCGTGGGGAGACCTTGCCTTTCATTCCAAGCTTTGTCTCAGTGACCCAGACACGCAGGGCGATGAGATACCTGACGATGAGGAAGAGGATAATGGCCGCGACCAAGATGCCGATGATGTAGCCCGCCACAACGCCGGAGGAGTGCCTTTGGAGATCGAGAAACGGGTACACGTAAAAGCCCTGGGTGGCGTGGGTAAGATAAGCCAGGCCAAGGTATAGAGCCAAGAGCAGGATAATGGGGATCAGATCCAGCCAGGGCAGCGGCTTGGTGCAGGGAAAGAAAATCTCGCAGAAGGCGTACAGTGAGTTGAGGGCGTGCTGGGACGTGTTGGACCAGATGGAAAATGTCGTGGGGAAATTTGCAGCAAGGAGACCCCAGAAGACAACTGCTACATGTCAGCTGTGCAAGGCAAGCGCTAAGAGCAGCAAATGGAATTATGGAGCAAGCCCTTGGGCAGGCTGGCGCCAGCTCGGAGACGTTGACTTACTGGTGACTATCCATGGGTATACGACGATGGTGGAGTAGAAGATGCTGTGGGCGACTTGCAGGGGCTTGGGCCAGCGAGCCAGGAACGAGGTGCCCGTCAGCCAATAGCTTCCCGTGTGTGCGGCAGCAAAGGCATAGTAGAAGGCGAGACCCCAGTACGTCAGGTTGGTGAAGTAGGAGAAGGAATGTCGTGATTCTGCAGACCTGCCGTGGGCGCCGTTCCAGCCAAAGATGGTGAACAGGGTGGTGAATGCGTACAGGGCCAGCAGCGCTCGGTAGCCAAAGAGCAGGCTGGACGGGAGGGCCCAAGACGTTACAAACCGCGTGGGGTCCAAAGGCCCGGTATAGGGTGCTGTAATTCGTTGACCAATCGCCATGACGAGGGTATCGAGTGGTGGTGCCCCTGTTCGCTGCTGACGCTAGAGCTGCCCAACTTCCGGAACGCGCCGACGAGAGACGCGTCGTCTTGGCGGCAGGCGGGAGACGGGAGACGGGATGGGCGAGGGCGAGAGGGAAGGATTTTGTGCGTCGTGATGCAGCAACGTGGTGTCGCGACGCACGCCCGCCCTCAGAAACTTCGGCCTCGCCAATTTCCGAGGCTGGAGCTGAAAAGGGCAGCGTCGCCGACGTGACTCGGGCTGAAGGCGCTAGCCCCGCGCTATAAACGCCCCAGCGCGCTAGGCCGCATCCGGCATGGCGGTCGTGCTCACCACCACCACCACCCACCACCCATCGCCCTGCGCCTCCGTAATGTCACGACTCTATCCCACCCCCCTGGCCTGTCCCACGCTGCAGCCATGGCCGGCCGTCTATGTTTCCACATGCCCTCCTACACTCCCCCAAACGCCGCCCGCCCAGGGTCATGCTTGCTCCGTGCTTGGACGACCGCCCGCAGCCTTGTCCCTATGTATCCTACTTTAAGACTGCATGCCATCATGCTTGCGCGCATCCTACTCGCTATGGTCATGCAAACAAGACTCGGTGTACCACGCCACTACCTCTTCGTCCCTCCTTCGACACTGTCGTTTGCTACCACACACCACTATGAGTGACAGCAGCAGGATATCCGTATGCACCCACCCACAGCCCCTCGCCCGCCGCACTTCTAACATGGCTTAGCAGAAAGCACAGCACCTCGCTCGTATACGAGACAACCAGCGTGAGTAGCCTTCTGCACACTTTGTATTTCCAGCTTGATCCTGTCCGCTTTCCCTTGCCACTCCCTTCTCCTCTGTCCTCGCCACACCACCCGCCTTGCTGGCCAGAACACGATACTTTGGCAGCTGCCCATAAGCCTGTCACTGACCCTCCCCGTAACAGGACGCTCGCGCGCTCGACGAAAAGAGTATCTGCACGAGCTCGAGGCAAAGCTGCGCAGCTATGGGCAGATCGGCATCGAAGCCTCATCAGAAATTCAAATTGCTGCTAGAACAGTCCTCGAGGAGAACCGCAAGCTCAAGGCTATCCTCCGTGAACGGGGAGTGTCGGAGCCCGAGGTGGCGGCCGCCTTAGAACGCACACCAGATCAGCACAGCACGCAGCTTTATGCAGCACCGAGACTGAGTGCCATGCTTGAAGGAAGAATCAAGACAGACCCAGCCTCGTCGACGACCCCATGCATAGCCTCCCAGACAAGAACGTTGATGCCTCGGCCCACGCCATCAGCTCCATCGACCAACACCCTACCTCCACGTTCCACTGATCTCAGTTGCGATGATTCACCCAGCCCTGGGTCAGTCGCATCCAACATGAGCACCCCGCCACCTTCTTCCCACTCGGCAACATTTCGCCCTGCGCCCATGACTCCGCCAGGCGTGGAGATCAAACTCGAGGACGTTTCATACGACTATCCCTACGAGCCACCATACAACACTTCTTGGACCCACCAAGGCGACTACGGCTACCTTTCAGACCCCTTTACTTACTATACCCGCCCTTCATACGTCGACCACACCAAATTGGCGGGTGTGACGCAGCCGGACACTGGAACTGAGCTGGAGAACGGCATGGGGTATCGCTATCCTGCTCAATGTTGTTGCACCCACAGCGCAACAATGTTTAACATGATGAACGGCTATTCACAACACTCTACCGCGATGTGACCCAGAAGGTCAGATCGATGAAAGTACTTGGTTTCATGTTCCTTCCTGGTTGCTGGAACACCCCTTTTTGTTGATACACACTTAGATATTCCGCGCGTGTAAGCACTTTTGACCTTGTTTTATTTTTTCTACTTCTACTAGTACGAAGTCAATCTACAAGCATTTCTTCTCAGCCCCTTATTCTCTAGGACGAATATTTACCAACTTTGGCCATCCTGTTGCCTGTTGCGTTTACTGTTTTCAATCTTGCTTTGAGTTGTACCCCTCCTGTAACATCACTTGGCAGCCTGATCCAATGGGTCACCTACAGGCTTGATGAACTTAACGAATTACGCAAGAAGCACCTAAAGCAACATGTACATAAGTCCCGTAGTACTATACAACTGTCTCCTACCATATTATTCAAACTTCTTAGAATATATTCATGCAAGGATTCAAACAGACTTTCTGTTATCGACTTCAAAAGCAGTCACGTGCGATGAACTACACCACAACATACAGATCTGCTGTAGAATGCATCAACATATCAATTAGAGCAGGTCAAACAGATGAATTAAGACAGACTAAGCTATGACATCAATTACTATGGCTTCTGGAGGTGTGCAAATATTGAGCTTTGATTGATTCGAGACCTGGCCTGTTATCTCTGGACAGCCCGTGCGACCCTGGCTATCATTACCGCTTGATTCTTTTACGACTCTAATTCTCTGCATCTATACCCCGCATCGCTTGTCTCGTGAAGCCTGGAGACGGTTCATTGGCTCATTCACTACAGTCACGTTATTGGCTGCCGTCGCAAAAGTCTTGGCGCTGTTGCTGTGTGAACCACAACCAAGTTGCACACGACACTGACCGAACAAGTCACAATTCATGCAGCGCACAGCCATGTCGACATCACAAGAGTTCGACTTGAGCTCTATCTCTGTCATGGCACTCTTCAGACGTATTCAAGCAGGAAGGGATCTTAAGAACAACACGCGCACAGACTACAATCTCAAAAGAGAAGAATATGACAGGATACAACGTGCGCTTCTGCAAGACGAAGAGCTCCGGTGTTTCGTGGAGACAAAGATACAGTAAGTAAGGCCCACATATTGTGAGCAGCCTAACCGAAAAAAAAGATGTGACATTTATGACTACATCGGGGACAGACGTAGACTGGCGGTTCGTAGGCCTACCAATGTACATCGTCTCTTCCTCGACAGTGTAGAGTATGCGATCGAGTCCCAGCTAGAATCAATACGCAACGGACCAGGCAGGAAAGCTCGGTTTGTACAGAACATTCGCCTAACCAGACCTTCAACGATATGCCTCCCAGCCAAGGCATCCTCTGATGTGTCTAGACACGACGCAGATGCGGGGCTCAAACATGTAGATGCAAGATACCCAGGCGTTATCATCGAGATCTCGTACGGGCAAGATGATTAGCGTCTAAGGGAGCTAGCCAACAAATACTTGTTAGCCTCAGACGCTAATGTGCAAGCTGTTGTCTGTCTGGACATAGCTCATGGCAAGAAGGGGTCACGCAGAGCGACATTTTCGATACGGCGATCACAATTGTTGAGCGATGACAACGGAATCGAGCTGCGACGCACAGTGCTTGACGCTACGGATGTAAGAAAACCCTGCATGTTCCAACCCTGAGTCCAGCCTTCTAATGCTCTGAGCAGGCTTTCCGGGATGATGAAGGAAAACCGACAAACAACAGAGACCTGCAGCTACGTCTCAGCGACTTCGCTTTCCAAAGACTGGTACAAGAGGATATGGGAGATGAAGATGCGCAAATCTCCGTCTCTTGCGTGCAGCTCTGTCAGTTTTTAGACGAGGCGGAGGAGTGCGAGTGACTGAGTACGGGGAAACATGATTGGTCAAAGATTCTCCATGGTACGATGGTGACTCTCCCAAACACATCTAATGCTATGAATACCATTATAGGCCTGTTCAGTTGAGTTAACAATGAATAGTTTCTATCCCCCAGCCACTTTCCCCTTTGTTCACATTGTCTCGCACTGCCGCCCTTTCATTTTGACCTCGATTTTGCGCTATATTCTTTATCAATATACCCCTGCTGTGCCGTCAACATCTTGCAAATTGTAAAAGTACTTGGTGCAAGCCATCATCGTCATCTTTGATTCCTTCGTTAACCTTCAATACCCATCCTTTATTCTTATCCTATACAATAAGAAGGATACTTTGAAGACAGATGCCTTACGCCACGTGATTACTAGTCTGCAATCCCCTGTCATGTTTTCATCGGATATCTTTCAATGTTTCCAACAATGCTTTACTTTGTGTGCTGTTTCTCCTTTGTCTTGATGGTCGGGTCAGCACCTGGTGAGCTCGCAAATCCGGCACTGCTGATTGTTCCCTACTAACAAAGACAAGCTCTGAAAGAAAAGCATCCAGCCCTATATCAAACGATGCATCGAACCAAAAGTATCAAAATTATTATTGAGGTCAAGATACCGTGTTGCGCTCACCATTCGCGCCGTAGAAGCTAAGTGCTAAGTCTTACTAACCAATTAGCCATGCCCCCCAAAAGCAAGGAGAAGGACGCAAAGCAGGCGCTGGCCCAAAAGAAGCCCGCATCAAAGGAAACTCACAAAAATGATGCACATGAAGCTGTGCAGATCAACTGGGCCATACCTAAAGCGAAGCGAAAACTAGTCCACGACGAAAAGCACGTGGCTGATTACGCCCAGTCATTGTACCAGAGAAACCCGAACGAAATTCAATCATCACAAACAGCCCTGCCTGATGCTCAGATACGCTCACCAATCTTCCAGAAGGCTGGCAAGGATATGCAACCCAAAGATGCCAATCATTCCAGCACAGCATTGCGAGACTTGTACAACGACATCAAGAGACGGAGTGTTGCCGAGCCAGATGGACGCCACGATCTTGCTTCACTAAAGACCCTTTTTGAAGCCGGGGACGAGAACACTACAGTCGTTCTTTCGAGAGCAGAGAACGAAGAAGTACTGGTATTGGGTGCGGAACGACGTCTAGAGGTGTACGTGGAATAATAGTTGATAGTTTGTTTCCTCTGCTAACATTAACTAGGACAGTGAATAAGCAGACTGCGCATATTGATTTCATCCGACGGGCGCCATCGGGCGAAGGAAATCAACGGCTGGGCTATTTCATTGAAGTTCCCCTAGGGACTTTAGTCACCGTCAATGGCATCACGTACACCAATAATGATGATTCATCGCCTGCACCATTCTTTATTGGCCCGCTTGACAGCTACGCTGTGATTGAGCTGTTGTCACAGCCAGTTTTCTTTTTCAGAAATGAGGAGAGCCTGAAGCACTCAGTGACGACTAGGAAAGCGCCTCAAGATGAGATTGACCGACGCGATCTGAATGGGGATGTTGCCCCGGAGAATGTGAGGGTGAGATGGCTACAGCTTGGATCTCCAACGCTTATGGTGGAGGCTGAACCTGAAGAAGAGAATGAAGGGCATGATTTGGAGCAGTCTGAAGAGGGTGCAAACGAGCCTGCGGAGGAGCTTTATGTCGAGGAAGACGCATTCTCGGACGCATTCACAGACGATGGGAATCCGATTGAGAATCCTCATGTCTACATCCAATCTTGCCTCAGACTGCACATGGAAGAAAGACTCGACACTTTGATCCCCAGAGTAATCGCTTCAGTCAATCAACGACAGCCTGAGAATACTGGGTTCAGTTTCCTTCACGACAACATGGTTCTCAGACAGGGAAGAACACTGCTCACTGGCGTCACACAGGCTGAAACTCGTATCCTACTCATAGGCGAGGTTCAGCCGGACAACAATATCAGAATTCGAATCTTAGATCCAATGACTTGGCGCACCACCGAAAGTCGCCGAAAAACGATATTCACTCAGCTGCAGCAGTGGCTCTTGACAACCAACTGGTGGAAAAATGCTTTTAAATCGAATGAAGAAATGGGAGAGCATATGCCACAGTCATTCGAGGGGGTGCCATGTGCGCAGACGACCACCCAAGAGGGCGCCTTCACCTACACTGTTTTGAATGCATGGGCTTTGGCCATGGGCTTAGAGCCCAACCCGACATTCCGACCCAGCAGCCACAGCAACGAAGCTTTCTTTATCCAAGCCCAGCAACTATTCGATCTCGCCCTCCAGGATCAACTGACATGGAAAATGCTTTTCGCCTTCTTAAGTAATACCGGCTTCGTGAAGCCATTGGTCGCCCTTGAAAGCGAAGACAACGCCAATGCCCAAATTCCTGCTAAGAACCGTCGCTTTGACCAGCGCAAACGTTCCTTTACCCAACTCATTGCTGATCAGAATGAGGCCGATGTGAGCTTCCCAGCAAAGGAAATAGAGATACAGCACATGCCCTTGGGGCTTGAAGAAGGCAAATCGCACAGAGAAGCATTCCCCTCCGATTGTCTCACAGAAGAAGAACGAGATCGTGTTGCTCCTTTTGTTCGCGACGGGCAATGGAGTTTCCACGGGACAGTAGAGCAGCCGAAGCAGCGTTTCGAACAGGAGCAGCAGAATGCAGAGCCAGATATCGCGTCCACCTCAACATTGTCCGATCCACCGAGCAGTCCCCCACAGCTGGATCCATTTCCTATCCCAGAAAACTTCAATCCCTGCGCGTATCTTGAAGCAGAAATCAAAAGACTAGTTGATTTAGATACATCCTCGACAACCGAGCAAAGCGAGTCCACCGACGTCCCGCGGTTAAGTAAGCAGGAGATCCAAGACAGCATCGCAGCCGTCATTCGTGCCATCAACCTACGCCACCCCCCAGGAGCAGGTTTCACAATTGAAGTAGGCAACACGCACGTGGAATCGTCTACCGATATCAACGGCGACCTGCTTGCGCTTACCGTAATGGAAGCGAGCGACATGCATGAGCTGTGTATCTTGATCCAGAATCCAACAGGGGGACAAACACCCTTTTATACTGTTATTGACTCTGCACCATGGGCAACGGACAAGGCTAAACGAGCCGAGATCCGGGATACGCTCAACGAGACATTCCCAATTACAGAGCCTGTACCGTGGGTTTTTGCGCCCCAGCAGGCACAGGCGCATCATAGTGGACATCACGTTGTTCTCAATGCATGGAGCATTGTATTGGGACTGCCTCTGAACCTGCAAGACTTTACTTCGAGTCTGGACTTTATCCGCGCGGCGCACCACATCATCAAGGCTGTGCTCCGCGGTGATGCAGATTGGTTGCTGATCTGGGCTTTGCTATGCTACTACGGTTACGTGGAATCCGCAGAGGCACCAGAAGTCGGCAGGAGATTTTCTAGGACAGTCCCATCGAGTGAACATGAAGCGTACCAGGCAGAGATGAATACGAAGAAGGCGGGGTCTGCAACAGGAGCTGAGATCAATACGTACAGCCATTTCAAGCACACTTCGACTCAAGAGCACAATGCCAATTTCCACTGGGACGACCTGACTCCGGATGACCGAAATGTTGGTATTCCTGAACTTCAGCGCAACGGGTTGTTCCGCAGCGCGCTGCCTCGTGAGGAACTGCGTATGCGGTACCGAGAGTTGAGAGGGAAATTCGATGCATGCCATCACCTTCGGCAAAGCCTGAATCATATACGAGTAAACGCTACTATATTGTCCGAATTGAGGCAGTTCCGTAACGAAGGCGCTACAACAAATATTGGAGATTGGCTTCTAGACATTGAGGTTGCGCTATCCATAAGTGCTGTTCTCCTGGCTATCAACGACGTACAGGATGCCGAAAGTGGATTCAGCATCGTCCCACAAAATTACATCCAAGCATGCGCCTTCACAGATGACCCAAATCTTACTCAATTTCACCCTCCCGCCCTTCGCCCCGGTCGGCCATTGATCGCCCCGATTCATCATCGTAATCATTTCGTCCTCCTTGTCGCACAGTTCAACGAAGAGGGCCGTCCTACAATTTCTATCTTGGATTCACAAACCCACCAATACGAGCAGCAGAATCGCGAGGAAGTGTTCCAGATGGCATGGCGAGTCCTGTGTAGGACGAGCTGGTGGCGAGGTTTCTTTCCAGACGTAGATGCTTTCAATCAGGTAAAGCCTGCTTCTGCAAGCTGGATCAAAACTGCTCAACAGCCAGGGAGCAGTGAATGCGGGTATTATGTGATATTAAATGCATGGGCCTTGGCATTGGGATTGGAGCTCAACCCAGATGTCCGACTGCAATGGACCCATCAGTTCCATAGAGAGCTGCTAGATGTTATGCATCTTGCGCGTCTGGCACGTGTCGATTCCAGGCTCATCTTTGCCTTTTTGCGATGCCATAATATTGTTCGGGATGGAGTGATACCTCACAACAGGCGTTTCTCTAGGACACACCAGACACGAGGCGAAGCAGTACTGGACCGCGAATTAGAGAATCGCTGCGCTCTGGAAAAAACACACTGGACGGAGCAAAACTATGGACCTGAAGCTTTGGCCCGAATGAAGAGCTCCAATCGCGTTCCAGGCATGAATGGAGTGGCCCATAATGAACCCAAGGCGTTTGCTTCTGATAAATGGAGTCCGGAGTCGAAGCAGAAGTATGTGCAAAAACTCCAAGATAGTGGTATGCTCAACATGGATCATGATGAGCAACAACTGAAGGAGGCCTACGATAACATGATGAAATCGTTGTTAGAGAATATCTGGACAGGACTCGCGGCAAAAACGTCGTCACCAAAACGGCAGAACCTCGTGCGTGCGCTCCGCCATTATATTGATGTCCAGTTTGAAAATATGGATGAAGACACGGAAAACGATCCGACATCGTGGATTGAAGACACCATCTGTTTCTTCGAACACGTCAGAAAGAATAAGCTACTCCGGAAGTGTTTAGGGCGGATTGGTTTTTCTGGACAGCAAAACTGGCAACGGCCGCTAGGCAACGACGAGTTGAATTTCGCAATTGTGTCGGTCCTGGAAGCTATTGATGGTTTTCAGTCTGGCGAATACAGAGATACGGGATGCGACCTTCCTTTTGCCGGAGGTTTCGCTTTGACAACGAGCGCCAATCTCCAGATGGCGCTGGATCCTTCGTTCGGCAATGAAACAGGTGACTTATTCAGCAACATGGCATTCTCACGCCCGCGAAGGGCCTGGTTGATTCCCCTGGTTGTCGGTCGCGACGGGCTTTTGGCACACCTAGAGCAATGGGCTATTGTGAACAACAAAAAGTGGAATGGTCCCAAGGACGGAGCTGGCGGCCATAGTCTTCTGATTTTGGTTCAAGAGGTACCTAACAGCGGTAACACAAGAGAAACTCATTTCGAAATCCACGCCTTCGACAGTAGCATTAGGGTCTTCGAAGAAGTACGGGATTTCCTTCGAGAGCGCATTGAACAGGCAGCACATCGCCTTGGGTGGTCAACCCATCGCAACGGACCTGATGGGCCTCAATTCGATGGCCAGCTGCACTTGAGTGAATCCATCGCTCAGCAGCCCAAGGGTGGGTGGCAATGCGGCCACCATGTACTGATCAACGCGTGGATCATCGCTCTAGGCCTCCATCCCAACGACGAAGCAAAGTTCAACAACGAAATCTACAGTCAACTCCACACTCTTGCTCAAGCCGCTACTTCTGGTATTCTGGACTGGACGACACTAGCAGGCTGGCTCATCTCGCATGAGCTCGTTATCGAGGATCAACTCGAGTACGTCCCCGAAGAGCGGCGTTTCAACTTTACAGTCGGCCAAACCGACGAGTTTGCGCTTGATCGCCGCATTCGCACTTTCCGCATGCCCGTTGACCAGCGTCTGGCGTCAATTAGCGTTTCAGAATCACGGTATGATCATGACAATAACTATTACGACTATTTTGGAGACGATACCGAGGACACGGAAAGCGACTCTGGCCTGGACAGATGCATTGACGATGCAGACGAGGATTTTCTGAATGGCCCGAGAGGCGCCAAGCGGAAGCGGTCTAAGCATTCGGACTACGGCCTCGAATTTCTGGATCAATACGACTCTGGGTGCGCAGATGGGCGGGGAGATGAGGGCTATGACGCTCGTGCTGGGAAGAGGCGGCGAGGCGCTGACCGTTTATCTTTCCTAGATGTATACTGCAGCGAGGTGTAAAGAAGGAAGTTTAATTAGCGAATTAGATTGATTTAGAAGGATTGAGACCGAGGTTTGCATTATAGATTGTAATTTTTTTGTGAGCAAAGGGGCTGTAGATACTGCGATGAGGCGGTTAACAACGCGCGTACATGTAAGCAAATGGAAGTTATAGATTTTGAACAGAACACCTCATTGCAGTTGTTATCGATCGCAGCTTCAACTATAAAACGCAGTCTTCTCCAAAAAAAACAGTTATCATAAGTTGGATTGATAATTCCCTGATGGCTGGCGAGATCTGTCCCCCGGCTGGTGCTAGTGGAAATTAACCACTCCACTGAGCGGAGCATGTAATGCATGAACGCGAGACTAGCGCGCAAAATGTAAAATACTCTAACTATACTACGTTTGGTATTGCTATACTTTTTCGTTCTCTACGATTACCACGAAGAAGCAGATCATGCACTCAAGACACACGGTATGTAGGACAGCTGCAGCTTTATTCTCAAGCCGAGAGACTTGTAGCTGTCAGGCTAGAACCCAATATTGCCGCTACTATGGCCATTTCATGAGTATTTTCCATATAGCATCTCTTGCTATATCAAAAGCGCGAATTGCCTTATCAATACACGCTGTAGAACAGATGGAGGTTCCTGACAAATCAGATTTTGAGATTAAATGCACTTGCTCATTATCAAATTTGCAAGCTCTGTCAGTAACTATATGTCCAATTTCAAGGACAAAAGGCATTGATTTTCAGCACTGACAAGTAAGGTGCGCGAAAGAACGGAGAGCAACACACGAAGACGTTGCGCGCGCCCCGGAATCTTGGCACGCACGATGACGTCGCTGCAACAGCTTCACGCGTTCCCTCCCTCTGCGAAACCAAAGCCAGCCGTCCCAATTCTCCGCGTCTAACAACACCAGCACAACGTACAACCCTTCGCAGCCATGATACGCCCTACAATATCCCTTCGCCACCCTCTCCCGAAACCCCTCTTCACACCATGTACCCAGCGCCGTGCCTTCTCGCTCTTCAATTCCGGCACTCGCTCGCACCAAAACCGCATCTTTGACCCCGTTCGCCAGCCCAACGACCTGCACACGCTGACGCTCCTCAATGCAGCCGACAACCGCGCTCTAATCACGTTCTGGACTGCATCCTGGTGTGCGACGTGCCAGGCCATCAAGCCACTGGTGCGCAGCCTGATTGAAGAAGAGAAGGTGGGGGAAAGCGAGGGTGGACTGGGCTTTGTCGAGGTGCTTATGGATTCAACGTTGCTGGAGGATTTGCCTGTGAGGTATAGGGTAAGGAAATCCCCTTCCCTATAGAAAAGCAGATCCCTTTTCTGCTTGTGGAGATCTAACGGTCGGAAATGGGGACGTCGAGCTATGCGAGCTAATACAGACTGTGTGTAGATAAGCAGTATGCCGACGTTACTAGCATTCAGCAGACAAGAAGCGCAGTTCGATACCAGGTTGGCTCGGCCCGAGGAGATGCGGAATAAGGATTTGCTGAGGCAGTGGTTAGTTAGGGAGGCGCAGCGAGGAGGGAGGAAGGGTGGCGGTGGGGGTAGCATGTTTGGTTAGTGGGCTATCCATCATCTTGCTAGTCTTGCGAGACCTGACAGTTGTTCAGGTTCGAAAGAGGGGCTTGAAAAGAGGAAAAGCGAGTAGGTAAATGGCGAAATGACGTGTACGATAGGGGGATCAAGATATAGTTGGTGAGTTGAGCTAGCGCTGCTGGAATGTCTTCTATTGCTGATAATCAAGTAGTGTGGATTGCACTAAAGTGAACTTTACAGATAGCATGCATAACTGCATTCTGGTCATGAAGCAAAAATCTTTAATGCATTTTAATGTACATCTGGCGCGAATTGTAAAAACATTACAAACAATCAAACGCCGAAGGGTATATCAGTCAGACCGCTGGTATATAGTCCAGAACGACAACCATTCATGCACGTATATCCGAGCATGTAGATGAGCGTATCATTTCCTGACATTCTTCTCATGTCTCTTTTGAGTAGACCGTTATCCAGAGACCCATTCTACACCACAAGCTTTGATCTCTTTTTATCCGGGACCTCGCTGAATGGATCACTCTTCTTGCCCCCATTCTTGTCACTGCGCGGCGATGGCTGCCTCGAAAACTTGGGCGTACCCACTCGGGACTGGCCAACGGCTGGAGTCAAGAGCGACGTATCCGTCAGCGCTGGTGGCGAATCAAGCTCTTCATCGTCTACCGGCTTGACAGTGAGATATTCCTCACTCAGCTGGCGCTGCGCCTGTTCGCGGTCCTGCAGCCAAGTGTCGTGTTGCTCCTTGAACGTCTTTTCCATCTCCTCGAGCCACACCTTCTGCTGCTTATCCTCTTGGGCCAATTCGATGCAAGACGGACACTTGATGTAGAAGCCGCCGGACATGACTTGCTCACCCAAAACCTCAAACTCGGGTAGATTCTCGCCAATGAGCTCCGTCTTGTCCCAGTCAAGGCAGTCTTCGCAGAAACCCTGAGGGCACCAGCGACAACGGAATATGAGACCGCCAGCGTCAGCTGTTGTCTTTCCGCAGTCCGAGCAGTTGTGTTGAGCGCAGTAGAAGCCGCCCAAACCCTTGACTTTGCCCTTGTAGTAGGGACCGAGACAGTCGTAATGGTAGACTCGGGGACAGCTCTTACACTCGACCTTGTGTCCAGCATCGGCATCTTCGAAACATTCGAGACAGTGATCTTCATGTGTGAATTCGCGCTTCTTCTCCCGGACTGGATCAGCGAGACGCGGGTCTTTACCGGCCAATGTTGGTACCGCTTCCCAATCCCCGCAATTCATGGACTCCTTACTAATAGCAAAGCCGTTGACCATGACCGTCGTGTTCTTGTTGATGCGCCGGTCTTCGCGCGTAACCATAGCTGGGAGGATGTTACTGGCCGAGGTGTCTGCCCTAGAGTCCTTATCGAGATTGCGCTGGTGACGCTTGCCTTCGAAGACGGCGCATTCGACGCGCTCCATGGTCGAAAGCCACTTGTCTTCATCAACCTCGGACTGTGCCACGGCGTCAGTCAAGTCGGCAGACTTATCACGGCACTGTTCCATCATTGTTTCCAAGTCCCAAGAAACCATCTCCTTGACATCAATCTCCGGGTGGGACAGCGTCTGCGCACCTCGCCGTACTAGCGTCATCAGCTGGGACGTATCCATTTGCGGCATATCTTCGTCGAGCGACGGACGTCCAGGTTGCTTATTTCCCGGTGTCTGCGTTCCGGCTGCTTGCATTCCGTGTATGTTCTGCATAGATTCCGTAATCTTGGCAGACAAATAGAGCTTCTTTCGGATGCGGCCCATCATCTGCTCTTCGACAGTCCCCTGAGTACAGAGCTTGTAGATTGTCACTTTCTTGGTCTGCCCTATACGATGAGCACGAGCTTCGGCCTGGAGCGTAATCTGCGGGTTCCAGTCCTCATCCAAAAATATAACATCCTGCGCAGTGGTAAGGTTGATACCCAAGCCTCCAGCACGGGTGGAAAGGAGCATGACCTTGTAATCTGAGTCTATCTTGTTGAAGAGGCGGATATCCAAGTTGCGGCGAGCCCTAGCAGTGCTTCCATCCAAGCGAAGAAACTTGAAGCGTTCGCCATAGTTGCTGATGAGTGACAGGAGATCCTCGCAGCAATCGAGCGTGCGAGTAAAGCTCGAGAAAATGAGGACTTTCTTCCCTTGTTCGAAGACTGTGTGTTTGAGGAGCTTTTCCAGTAAGATGAACTTGCCAGAGGCACGGATGACATGATCGCCCAGGTAGTATGGATCTGGGGCTACACCTGGTAGCTGGTATGGGTGGGAGCAGCATTTGCGCAACTGCATGACAAGATTCATGAGCTTTTTCCAAGCTCCCTTTGCAGCGTCCGTCTCGGTTTGTTCTTTCGCTACGGCTTCTTGCACAATCTTGGCGGTCTCTTCCCATTCGTCTCCAATGTTGCCATCTCTGACCGCTTTGTCTACTCTCTCCAGCTCTTGCAATAGCTGGTCATCTTTCATGTCGCTCTCAATGGCAGCCTTCTCTTTTTTCCTGCCATCAGCAAACAGTTCGTCCAGCATTCCATCGTCAATGCGAGTCAAGAGACGTGTGTACCAAAACTTCTGCATTGGTGTAAGGGGCACGTGAAGGAGCACCTCTTCCTTGGGGGGCAGTCCGAGATTGACTGATGGAGAATCCTTCATTCTGCGCAGCATGATGAGCTCGAGCAGACGCCGGGCATCTGCCATGGTCTGCTTGTTTGCCTTGCCTTTGCTAAGATCGAACGACTCTCGAAATAGTGCTTCGGTCTTGTCGTCAAAAACGTTGGGGTACAGCCAGGTCAAAAGCGACCACATCTCGACCATGTTGTTTTGGAGTGGCGTTCCTGTCAAGATAAGTCGGTACTCGGCACTGATGCTCTTCAGCGCAGTCGAGATCTGAGAGAAACTGTTTTTAATCTTGTGTCCTTCGTCTAGAACCACATAGCGCCATGCAAAAGAATGCTTGAACCAGGATTGCTCGGCCTGAAAGGTCTCGTAAGTCGTCACAATGAGCTTTGCGGAGGCAGAGAAGCCCCTAGCGGAGGAGAGTTTTTGACCAGCCTTGCGCAATGCCTTCCGGTCCCGTGCGCGCGATGTTTCGTTTCCTTTCATATCTTCTAAGCCAGCCGCCACCCGCTTGAGGCGTGTCCGCTCATTTGCGGCACCATGGAAACGCATTACTCCAAGCTCAGGCACCCACTTCTGAGCCTCGGTAACCCATGAGTTGAGCACGCTCAATGGGCAAATCACAAGATAGGGACGGATTTCTTCGGATCTGACGCCTTTTTGCTGATCGAGCTCCTCAAGATACTGAAACAGGGAAAGAGTCTGCAGCGTCTTCCCAAGACCCATTTCGTCGCCCAGGATGCCGGAGAAGCCGTTGTTGTACAGGTGAACAAGAAACGATAGTCCAGATAGCTGATACGGCTTCATGACGGCTGTCACACCCTTGGGCTGCGCCGGAAGCTCTTCGTACTCGACAATAGGCTGCGCTTTGCCTTCAGCGACCAGCTTCGCGACGTGGTTGTTCTTGGGCAGCAGGGGCAGGAAAAAGTCTTTGTTGGCGACGAGGAAGTTTTCGGCCTTCGCCTTGGTCTTCTTAGCGATGTCATCTCGAAGACGGGTTCGAGCAGTATTAAGTTTGGGGGGCTGCGCAGCCTTGCGCCGTGGTGGCGATGGGGTGGGCAGGGTGTCGGACTCTAGGATGGTGCTCTTCCTGTCGCGCGTGCTGCGTCGTAGTCCATCCATTCTCTCCTTTTCCTTTCTGCGCTTCTCCATCTTCAGCTCCTCGGTGTATGCAGATATTCTAGCGCTCGTCTTGCGGGGCTGGGCCGATGGCGCAAGTTCGTCCTCGCTGTCTTCTGGCGCCAGGCCCACTGGTTTCGAAGTCGACTTTCGCGTGCTTCTTCTCGAGGTGACGGGGGTCGCTTGGTCTGATGGAGAAGGCAAGGCGACGTAGTTTGGTGTTGGTTGTTGCCGCAGGCTGCGTTTGCTTGCGCCGTGATGGGCAACAGCCGGCTCCGTTTGCTCATGCTTGGGGTTTGCAGACAGTCGCCTTCGCTTTGTCGCTGACTCGGACGAGTTCTGGGATCCAAATTGCGCCAACAGGTCTTGCAAATGGCCACCTTGTCGCTTGGCCGGCGGCGTTATGGGCTCGGGGGAACCCAAGGTGATGACTGGTTTTCGGCGCATGGCGAAGATGGCGGGCGATTTCGTACTCTACTGTTTCGTTCCAAGCGAATGGGGGTCAAAGAGAAGACAAGTGTAAGGGGGAGAAGGGAGGGGGGCGGTGGTTTGCAAGCGCAACTTGACGAAGGAGTCTTTGTGGGAAGGGGGGCGTAGATGGTAGCGAAAGGAGTGAATGGTGATGAGTGAAGCAATCAATGCATGAGGCACGGGTCCAAAACGAGCGTATTGCACACAACAGCGCAACGGCTATCTGGGCAGTGAAAGGCGGCGCGGCGAGTCGAGGACGGAGTGAGCAGACGCGTTTTAGCGCGGCGCGCCTGTGATAAAGCCGAGTAAGTCCGAGGCGCCTCGCATGTGGCTGCGAAACCCTTCCAAAGACGCCCTCACAGCTCCTCCATAGCCCGCAAGCTCTCCGTTGCCCTGCGCAGACGGCGCATCCCCGTCGCTCACCATGGCGCAACAGCCCATGACGCCATTCTGGCCCATATTCGCATCCAAGTCGGACGGGCAGCATGTCGTCAACATCAAAGGGCGGCCCATACGGAACGGCCCGACCGAAGAGCAGCTCAACATGTCGCCCAACGAGCAGGGCCAGCGCGACTTCTACCGCCTGATCGAGAAGGACGATCCCAAGCACCAGGACTGGCGCAAGAAGCTGGGGGGCATGCTCCTGCGCGAGATTGGCGGCAAGCAGTACGAAGGTGGGCCGGCGACCATGACGCGCATTGGCTGTGCAAGGCTGACTGTTGGCAGACAAGTGGCAGCAGTGCATTCTGTGGGAGCTGCCCGACAACTACGTGCTGTACGAGCACATCAAGACCAAGGCAGATGGCCAGGTCAAGACGGTCAAGAACCACTCTGGCGGCGGACACGACCGGCAGGATGCCTATCTGTACGGCTACCCCAAGGGCCCCAAGAAGCGCTTCAGGAGCCCCGTCGAGTTCTTCCCCCACCTGCTCTGGCTGTGCACCGACGAGAACAGCTCCACAGTCAACTGCACCTGCAAGATGTGCTCGCCAGCGGGCGACGTGGAGAAGCCCCAGCCCAAGGCCGAGGCCAAGCAAGAGCAGACAGTGCCACTCAAGCGCGAGAACAGCTCCAGTGGAACTGTGCCGAACACCAACAACACTAATAATACTAACAACACCAACAATATCGTCGGCCGCAACCCCGTTGTACAAATACCTGCACGCCGACCCTCGGCGACAGCGCCGGTGCCGAGCCCCATTATCAAGCCAGCTACACCTGTCCCCGCTCAGATGCCCGCTCCCAGCGCGCCGCAGATCCGTGCCCCTCCCACTCTACAGTCGACGCTTCTCCCCCAGCCACGGTCACTCGAGCAACAGGCAGATCTCACGTACAACAAGTTTCTCTGTCGCACCGGCGAGGTGGTGTGGTTCTTTCGGCCCAAGACATCGGCCTGGGGTCTTGGGCTCGTGGTAAGAAGATGGGCTTTGAAGGAGAACCCCATGAACAGGTCGTACCAGGTCCAGCCACTATCACATCCCTACGAGTCCCTTCCACAGGAGGTTATCCACACAGACGAGCACATCAAGCCCTGGCTCGCTTGGTCCGCGCCTAGCTGCACGTATCCCTTCTTGCAGCAAAACCCACAGCTGGAGTATGGCAATACTGACTGGAGAGCGCTCATAAGCGGACAGGGTGGCGAAGGCATCGCTTCTGTGGATGCGTCTATTCTGGCAGCCAAGGCTATCGACACCACATATACGCTCTTCGAATGCCTCAAGACCTCCAAGGACGATAAAGGCAACGAGTTTCGACAGTACAACGGCATCTATCTAGGTGCTGAAAAGATATGGAGGGGCGAGGCTGTCCGCTTACGCATTGGCGCTACAGGGAGCGATCTGATGGTCATCACCGACATCATCGAGCAAGTCCTTGCCAATCCTGCGGCGAATCAGCCCAGCACAAAAGTGATTGCAGTCGGTGATGTCTATAGCTATGCAACGTTGGACGCCCCAGACCCAAATCTCCCTCCAAAACCACCGCAACAAAATCCCAATATACCTTCTCGTATGGTCCATGACATGGTATGGCGGAACCGCTTGCTAGTACCCGTCACGCGCACGGCGGCTTGGTGGAAACTCATACAGCCATCATACAAGCTAGACATGGACGACATCAAGGGCCGGTGGTACGAAACTAGTCTCATTTTCCAAGAGCCATTCACCAAGGCAGTTAAGAATGGCGAAGGGGGTAATGGCATCTGGATGAATTCCCGTGGCGATGCGACAGGCAAGGGTAGGGGAACGAGTATCCCGCAGCCTGATCGTGTTGGCGCCTTTGGTGCATCTGTGCCAAAGGGTACGCGCATCATCGAAGGCATCGATCCACCGAGCCAGCCCATGGGCCAGCCACAACAATCGCATGACGGAATGGAAATGGGCATGAACACGGGCATGACGGATCCCTTCTCGATTGACGAGTTCATGCATGTCGACCATCTAGGTGACGAGACGGGCATGGAATTTGGCGGTAACACCAACTATACATTTTAGCAAGGCTGGCGTTTGTTGCGATTCCAATTGCATTTACGGCGCGACATGGAGAGTCTCCATAAAAGCATTGATATTCGAAAGGAGCGTAGGACTGCAACTCATTGTGTGGGAGATACCCAGATGCTATTCAGAATATAAATGTTCATGAGCAGACCTTGTGCGCTGGACGTGAATTGGTAGCGTGTATTGTTACTTGGGGGTCTAGGGATAGCTATTCGTCTGACATACACAGGCTGAAGATGTATGCCGATCAGAATCTCTACCAGCCGAGCAATCACATCCATGATGTAAGGCCACTGCCTACGATTGATACCAAGCATGCCTAGTACGTACCGTGATTAGTATAGGTCTCGCAACCGACCCCAACTTCGAGTTTTCTGGAAACCGCTAGGAAAGCACGCTATCTAGGAGAACCGACCGGGGGGATGGCGCAGTGGTGGAGCGCCTGGAAAATTTTCTGCTGTCTCACGTCAGCAAAGATCGAAGGTTCGAATCCTTCTCCCCTCACAACCATATTTATGGTCCACCCACATGAGAGAGTTACTCATTAAACTACCTATTCGACTGAGAGAGTTACTCGTTAAAACTTGAGAGGAAGACTCATTTAAAGTGAAAGATCTGAGAGAGTTACTCAACTAAAAACTACTAAGGCTACGAGCCTCACCTTCATTTAGATAACCCCCTACATTGTACCTACTCAATTTGTAA